GAGAAATGAAAGACCTGGTGATGAAATCTCTACCTCCTGCTTGTTGCCAGAGGTCTAAAGCTTTCTTTTTCTTGCCTTTTTTGAAGCGCACCATTTTTAGATCAAACAATGTGATCTGGTTTCTAAAATGGCATATATGTCTTCTTCTTCTACTCTCTATTTTTGGCGGATTGCAAACAACTTTAAAGGTGCATACCACCACCTGTACATGAGTGTGAATTATCATATCATTCCATCTCTTAACTCATGGACGTATCTATGATCTAATCAAAAAATATATATAAATAAATAAATAAATCAACAAAAAACATAAAATAAAAAACCTATGATCTTTCCTGACCTAATGTTAAATTATTTTTCCTACCCCAGTTTCACTCAGGAAGGTAAACAATGCCTTTCTAGTAGCTCTTACTCCCTCTCCTTCTGTTCCCAAAATACCAACCACACTCCATTCTCTGCCTCTAAAACGTTATCCTTTAGTTTTTCTCTTTCAGCTTTAAAGATGTCACAATGTAACAAGATGTGTTCTACATCTTCTTTAACTCCCACACTTGTCACTGTCACTTTTCCCCATGATACAGTATACAGCGTACCATTCAAAGCCGTGTGATTTAGTCTGAGTCTAGCTATCATGATTTCCTCCCTTCTGTTTATTTCTTTATAAACATTAATTGTAATTGTCTTTTGCACTTTGTGATACTCTTTGCCTTTCTGGTCTTCCTCCCACCTTTTCTGCCAGATCTCCATCCCTTTCTTCTTAATTACTGCTTTTCCTTCTCCTTTACCAAGTTGAACTGGTAATGTGATTTCCTTTTGTAGTGCACTTTTTGCTCATTTATCAGCACACTCGTTCCCTTTCACCCCCTCATGTGCAGGCACCCAGCAGAACTGCAGATCTATACCATGCTTTTTAATATGGACAATGAATCTGTGCTTTTTAATATGGACAATGAATCTGTGCATATCACCACCCTATCTGGTCTGACCTCTTCAACCCACTGTAATCCTATTATTACAGCAAGCATTTCTGCTGTATACACTGATAATTGATCAGACGCTCTTTTTGAGATAGATATTTTAAAGTCTGGGATGTATATACCAACTCCAACACACTCTTCTTTGTTCTTAGAACCATCTGTGTACATTTGTAGGTAATTGTAGTACTTTTAGTTCAGATACATACTTGTTTTAATTCCCACTTCATTTATTTGCCACTATTTTTTCCTTTCTACAATATTGAGTGTGACATTCGGTCACATGACAGAGAAGCTATTGAAAAAATAAACAGAATTTTCCATACAAAAATGTATTAATATTAACCCTTGTATAGTGTTTCATTATTTATGTAAAGAAAAATGATATGATACATTATTTGTTCAAACTCACACTCAATGGCGTTGGCTAATTTTCTGTGAAGAACATATATCAGAACACATTTTCAATGACCACCCACTGTACACCCCCCCCTACACATTTATATTAGATACAGGATGTTCGGGGCTAACACAAGTGTGGAAAGTGTGTGTGTGTGTGTGTGTGTGTGTGTGTGTGTGTGTGGGTGTGTGGGTGTGTGTGTGTGTGTGTCTTATCACAACTGATCAAGATGGCCAAATGATTCTCTGCTCAGAGGGCCTTGCAAATGATTTTGGAAGAGAGAGAACCATTTGATGATGATGTAGAGGAAGAGGAAGGTGTTTCAGAATGTGAGGATCACATTTCTGAGAATTCTGAGTCTGACAGTGACTTTGAAGAACAGGATTAGATTGAGCATCAGCTAGTTACAAAAAAAAGACGAGCCACAGGACCAGCCGGTCTATTGGAATGATATATTAGAGAAATAGATAAATAATTACTAAGTAGCAGATGAATGTTATGGATGTTGTTTCAACAGTTCAGGTGTTTAACAGATGTTGTTTCAGCAGTTCAGTTGTTTAGCAGTCTTATTGCCTGTGGTATGAAACTGTCCCTGAGTCTGGTGGTTTTAGTCCGGATGCTGCGGTCACGCCTGCCAGACGGCAGCAGACAGAACAGTTTGTGGCTGGGGTGATGGGGGTCGTTGATAATCCTGAGGGCTTTCTTCCTGAGCCGCTGGGAGTAAAGGTCCTCCATGGATGGCAGCTCCGTCCTGGTGATGTTCTGTGCAGTTTTCACCCCCCTCTGTAAGGCCTTACGATTGAGGGCAGTGCAGCTGCCGTACCAGGCCGTGAAGCAGCCAGTCAGGATGCTCTCTATGGTGCACCTGTAGAAGGTCAGGATTCTCTCTATGGTGCACCTGTAGAAGTTGCAGAGTATCCTGGAGTCCATGTTGAACCTCCTCAGCCTGCGGAGGAAGAAGAGCCGCTGTCGAGCTTTTTTGGTGATGGTGGTGGTGTGAAGAGTCCATGTCAGGTCCTCAGTGATGTGGACCCCAAGGAACCTGAAGCTGCTGACTCTCTCCACCGTAGTCCCATTGATGGCGATGGGGGCGTGACCCTCTCTCTGCTGCTTCATGTAGTCCACAATCAGCTCTTTGGTTTTGCTGAAGTTGAGATGGAGGTTGTTATCCTGGCAGCCAGTGTAGTTCTTTGAGCCAGCATTGAGTTTGAGTGATTAGGTCACATGACCTGGAAGGTATTGAAGAAATAAGCTCATTTTTCCATCAAAATATTAATATAAAATATTTAAAGTATTAAAATGGAATAAAAAGAGGTGTGTCCTATGCAGCCAGTGTAGTTCTTTGAGCCAGCATTGATTTTGAGTGATTAGGTCACATGACCTGGAAGGTATTGAAGAAATAAGCTCATTTTTCCATCAAAATATTAATATAAAATATTTAAAGTATTAAAATGGAATAAAAAGAGGTGTGTCCTATGCAGCCAGTGTAGTTCTTTGAGCCAGCGTTGAGTTTGAGTGATTAGGTCACATGACCTGGAAGGTATTGAAGAAATAAGCTAATTTTTCCATCAAAATATTAATATAAAATATTTAAAGTATTAAAATGGAATAAAAAGAGGTGTGTCCTAAGCAGCCAGTGTAGTTCTTTGAGCCAGCATTGAGTTTGAGTGATTAGGTCACATGACCTGGAAGGTATTGAAGAAATAAGCTCATTTTTCCATCAAAATATTAATATAAAATATTTAAAGTATTAAAATGGAATAAAAAGAGGTGTGTCCTATGCAGCCAGTGTAGTTCTTTGAGCCAGCGTTGAGTTTGAGTGATTAGGTCACATGACCTGGAAGGTATTGAAGAAATAAGCTCATTTTTCCATCAAAATATTAATATAAAATATTTAAAGTATTAAAATGGAATAAAAAGAGGTGTGTCCTATGCAGCCAGTGTAGTTATTTGAGCCAGCATTGATTTTGAGTGATTAGGTCACATGACCTGGAAGGTATTGAAGAAATAAGCTCATTTTTCCATCAAAATATTAATATAAAATATTTAAAGTATTAAAATGGAATAAAAAGAGGTGTGTCCTATGCAGCCAGTGTAGTTCTTTGAGCCAGCGTTGAGTTTGAGTGATTAGGTCACATGACCTGGAAGGTATTGAAGAAATAAGCTAATTTTTCCATCAAAATATTAATATAAAATATTTAAAGTATTAAAATGGAATAAAAAGAGGTGTGTCCTAAGCAGCCAGTGTAGTTCTTTGAGCCAGCATTGAGTTTGAGTGATTAGGTCACATGACCTGGAAGGTATTGAAGAAATAAGCTCATTTTTCCATCAAAATATTAATATAAAATATTTAAAGTATTAAAATGGAATAAAAAGAGGTGTGTCCTATGCAGCCAGTGTAGTTCTTTGAGCCAGCGTTGAGTTTGAGTGATTAGGTCACATGACCTGGAAGGTATTGAAGAAATAAGCTAATTTTTCCATCAAAATATTAATATAAAATATTTAAAGTATTAAAATGGAATAAAAAGAGGTGTGTCCTAAGCAGCCAGTGTAGTTCTTTGAGCCAGCATTGAGTTTGAGTGATTAGGTCACATGACCTGGAAGGTATTGAAGAAATAAGCTAATTTTTCCATCAAAATATTAATATAAAATATTTAAAGTATTAAAATGGAATAAAAAGAGGTGTGTCCTACGCAGCCAGTGTAGTTCTTTGAGCCAGCATTGATTTTGAGTGATTAGGTCACATGACCTGGAAGGTATTGAAGAAATAAGCTCATTTTCCCATCAAAATATTAATATAAAATATTTAGAGTATTAAAATGGAATAAAAAGAGGTGTGTCCTATGCAGCCAGTGTAGTTCTTTGAGCCAGCATTGATTTTGAGTGATTAGGTCACATGACCTGGAAGGTATTGAAGAAATAAGCTCATTTTCCCATCAAAATATTAATATAAAATATTTAGAGTATTAAAATGGAATAAAAAGAGGTGTGTCCTACGCAGCCAGTGTAGTTCTTTGAGCCAGCATTGAGTTTGAGTGATTAGGTCACATGACCTGGAAGGTATTGAAGAAATAAGCTAATTTTTTCATCAAAATATTAATATAAAATATTTAGAGTATTAAAATGGAATAAAAAGAGGTGTGTCCTATGCAGCCAGTGTAGTTCTTTGAGCCAGCGTTGAGTTTGAGTGATTAGGTCACATGACCTGGAAGGTATTGAAGAAATAAGCTAATTTTTCCATCAAAATATTAATATAAAATATTTAAAGTATTAAAATGCAATAAAAAGAGGTGTGGTCAATAAATGTATGCTCTAGAGTGAATTTGCTTCACATTCACACGATCGAGAAGCTGTCGATTTATTAAAAACAACATTTTTCTTGTGTAATTGAAAAGTCATTTGTTGATGGTCCCTAAGTGAAAGCCTCGTTTCGCACAGAAGATCTCCCCGTCGTAATACAGCCAGCAGCAGGGGAAACTGACGCTCCTGGCTGGTCCGCGAATGTCCGTCGAATATCCAACCTAAAACTAACTTCACCGCGGTTCCCCACCGCTCCAGGGAACTCACCAAGTGTCAGAAAACACAACCCTCTCTATTTTCCTCCATACCCAAATCTCTAAAAAAAGGGAGTAGCATGAAGCTGCAGCGTTGGAGACTGCACTCTCAGGACCGCACTCACAGGACCCTAGTTTTTTGTGACACTGCCACCTAGCGAGCAGGAGACCTGAATATGAATGACAACGCAGAGAGTGTGAGTAATGTGAAGTGCTTTTAAAGTTTTATTTGTTTAACATTAATAACAATTCCGGTGTCTTGAAATGAATTGTGATTAGCTAACATTAACTATGATAGTCTTAAGGCAATACAAACAAACATCTGTTAGCTTATGATAGCTTCTAACAGTATTAAAGGCACTAAAAACAATTATTCGTTAGCTATAGCTTTCGGCAAAAGCATTATTAGCAAAAGCATTAGTTTCGTTAGCATATTTGATTATTTGTTTAATGAAACTGTAGCGTGATTTTGGCAAGCCCAACTAGGTGTCCTACATTAATTGTTGATTTAATCACTAATTACAGTAAGAGTGTGAGTAATGTTGTTTGTTTAAAGTTAACAACTATTCTGGTGTATTCAATTGGACAGCAATACAAGCAACACGTGCTAAATGTCATCTGTTAGCCTATGATGACTCGCTGCAAAACCAACTGTTAGCCTTTTTGTTTATTTGTTTAATGAAACCGTATGTTATGGTTATGTTATTTAGCAGAGGCTTTTATCCAATGTGACTCACAAAAAACATAAAATAACCATAATTAACATTAGAATATCAATACAAATAGTTACATAGTCAGTTACATTACTTATTACATTTTTAACAGGGTAATTAGTCATCTGTAACCTACTACATTTAAAAAAAGTAAACTTCCCAACTCTGATCATTAATTATAGTCAGCTAATTAATTAAACTTCAAAGGATGACAAAAGCATGTCAATATGATCTGTCTGTCCGCTACATTAAATCAGCAGTAGCCTAAGTTCTGTCTTCAGTGTAAATGCTTCTTTAATAGTCATTGTATTACTATTTGAATTCATTGTAAATAATCTTAACTGTGCTGACTGCCTGTTTACTGTTTATCAGACAGTCTCATCATTCTGACATGTTTTGCAATATTGCATGAGGTGTTTTATTATTATTCTCATCATGGAGCGTTTTGAAATACAAGGGTATGAAAGCCCTTAACAAACACTTTATTTTGAGGGTCACTTGTAGATTATCTACAATCTCTCAACAAACTCAGTAGCATGTCAATAGAACATCTGTTAGTTATATTAGGTTAACCATCTACAGATCAGTAGACCATCAGTAACAAGAGCTGTAAGACTCTGGATGGCAATATCTGTTGAGATTATTAATGCATATCAATTGTGCACCAATGCCTTAGCCTTTCCCTATGCAATACTTTAGATTACATCTTGTTCTTATTGTTTCAAAGGCATGGCCAAAGGTTTGCCTTCTGGACTCTGGAGGCCAGAAGCTTGCTCGAGGGAACCCTTCAGCCAGTGTTCAGCGTGCCAGAATGGATATCTCCCAGGAGAAGGTGGTCAACAGCAGATTGAAGAATCCACAGTGTGGAAATTGTGCCCAATAAATGTATTCTGCACTGAAATGCCTCTCGGTCAAATTGCATGTTTATCTTTTGCAGCCTGGTGCATAAACACACTAACAGTTGTTTTTCAGTAATCTAGCACCTCTTCAAAGACACATTTGATTTGATTTATTTTGATGTAATACAATAAAAAAAAATATATAATAAATGTATGTCTACATACAATATACATTTACAATTATAAATAGATGATATCATTATTACTCAGGGATGCAAACCTTTAGGCGAAATTCGCCGTTTTGATTCCAAAATAGGTCGTTTGTGTGATTCATGTAGATCTGCAATAAAAATATTTTTGGGGTATGGGGGGGGTCTGGGACCCGGAGTAATCTGCGGCCGCGAGCTGTTATGTGCCATCATGACACGCATGGTGTTCTTTTTTTATATATTATAATGAAGCGCGAGCACAAGTCTTCCTGCCTGTCAGCTCTGCTCATGGATGTATAATAAGGCTCTGCTGCTCCGGTATGAGGGTCTAGCTTCAGCAGCTACATTACCTACGGGTGCGTTCGTTAATATTAACTGTGCGGTCCGGAGTCACTGTGGCACAGACTGGACCGCTGGTTAGAACGGGGTGTTCAGAGCAGAGCTCCCTGACCTGAGCGGCAGAGCGTGATGTGCACTGAAAAGTGTTTCTGTCGCAATATTATTTAATGAATCGTTGAGCTAGCTAACTAGCATACATTGTCACTATCTGCTAACGTTAGCTTTAGCCTTCGTTTTCAAATAGTTTCTTTCATAGCCTATAAACGGAGGTGGTATAAGTATCTTGTACTTGAGTAAAAGTAGAAGCACTCAGATCTTGTACTTGAGTAAAAGTTGAAGTACTCAGGTCTTGTACTTGAGTACAAGTAGAAGTACTCAGATCTTGTTCTTGAGTAAAAGTAGAAGTACTCAGATCTTGTACTTGAGTAAAAGTAGAAGCACTCAGATCTTGTACTTGAGTAAAAGTTGAAGTACTCAGGTCTTGTACTTGAGTACAAGTAGAAGTACTCAGATCTTGTTCTTGAGTAAAAGTAGAAGTACTCAGATCTTGTACTTGAGTAAAAGTATAAGTACTCAGATCTTGTACTTGAGTAAAAGTAGAAGTACCAGAGTGTAGGAATACTCTGTTACAGTAAAAGTCCTGCATTCAAAATGTTCCTCAAGTAAAAGTAGAAAAGTATTATCATCAAAATATAGTTAAAGTAGCGACAGTAAAAGTAGTAATTGTGCAGATTGGTCCATTTCAGAATAATATATCTGATATGTTTTATAATGATTGATCATGAAAGTGTTCTCAAAGCTGGTAAAGGTGCAGCTAGTTTGAATGACTTTGTATACTGCAGGGTAGCTTGTGAATTTACTCCAGGTGGAACTAAAGTCTGATTTAACACTTGATTATATTTCACATCATTCATCCACATCTGTAAAGTAACTAAAGGTATTAAATACATGTAGTGGAGGAAAAGTACACCATTTACCTCTGAACTGTAGAGGAGAAGAAGAACAAAGTAGCAAAACATTGAAATACTTAAATAAAGTACAAGTATCTCAAAATTGTACCCAAGTATAGTACTTGAGTTTATGAACTTAGTTACTTTACACCACTGGCTATAAAGATAGAAAGACAGCCTTGCACAGAGGCATGAAAATACATTTTCAAAATGCTCAACAGTGCTGCCAAAATTATAAACTGACTGCTACACAATTAAAATAAATGCTTAAATATATTTCTATTAGATGTGACTCTTTGGCGTTTCTGTTATTATTAACTGCTTTAGTTGTTCTGACTGCTAAAATCCTCTGTTATTCCTCATTTTAAAGCCGATATTCCGTGGGGTCGGGGGGCTCGGATCCTTGTCACCTTTTTCATACCTGATGAGTTTGCATCCCTGATTACTACAATATATATATATTTACGTTGTATGTCAAATTTGATAAGACAAATATAAAAGACTATCTTTTTACATCTGACATACAAAATACATTTGATATTAACAACAAATTGTTGTTGTAAAAAATAAATAAAATAAACAATAATAAATATAATAATAATAATAAAAACATTACTGCATGTAAATGTCTACTTTTGCAATTTTCATGCATTTTTAGATGGTTAATAACAAGCATTACAATGTCTACTTTTGCGGTCATCCAATCCGCTAGGTGGCGATGTTGCAAAACAACTAGGGTCCTGGGAGTGCGGTCCTGAGAGAGAGCCTCCGACGCTGCAGCTTCATACTATTGGAGTGACTTGCAGTGGTCCTCGCTTTTTTTATGTCTCTCCAACGAGTTACGCAGGTGCTTCCAGTCTACATATCCATCCCTCCTAAATGCACCTTCAGCTCCTGGGCTGGGGAAATGTCTGCACATTTGACAGAAAAGCGAAATGCAATGTAATGTAAAAAAGCGCGTCCCTACTTGCGTTGTATTCCACTCAGGGAAAATCTTCATACCACCTCAACCAGTTTGTATAAAATGTATAATAATAATAATCCTTATATTTATTATAGCGCTTTATCAATGAATCTCAAAGCGCTTTACAAATACACATTACACATACAGATCATACATACATGTAATGGTCATCTACTGTGGACAATACCCACAGGAGCAAGTTCAGGTGAAGTGTCTTGCCCAAGGACACAATGGCTTTACAAACGCAGCGGCGGCGGGTTTCACCCCCTTGATCTGATAATCATTGCACAGCGCACTGCGCCACACCGCCCATCTTCACACCTCGAAGTCATCGAGGCGCTTTTACAAGTACACATTGATATCATACATGTACTGTGGACAATACCCACAGGAGCAAATTCGGGTGAAGTGTCTTGCCCAAGGACACAACGGCCTTATGGAGTTACACACAGAGCTGAGCTGAGCAGAGCACATACACACACACATCATGCGCCTTGGTGACTGACTGGACATCTCCTTCATAAAACTAATAAAAGGGGGAGTAATCGGGCAGTTTGATGTGTGTAGAGATGTGTGTAGAGGTGTGTGTGGTTAACACGTAGCAGCCTGCAGTCCGGTCAGGCCCGGTACCGGTCCGCGGACCGGGGGTTGGGAACCCCTGCTTTAGAGGATGAAATAATTGAATTGAGTTGGTTTAGGTCAGGCATCCTCAAAGTCCGGACTCCGGTCCGGATCCGGAACCACAACTGTCTCTGGACTCTGAGCAAATGATACTTTTCATATGTATTATCTGTATTCTCTGTGTTATCTGCGAGACATCGCCACAACGCAACGAGTCAAAATTCTCCGCTATGTCCACTGCATACAGCGCTCTGCATGTCAGACTGTTCCACTGTCTGTGTGTGTCTGTCAACGCTTTGGTCCAATCACATTCAGCATCCCGTCAGCGTTTTTTCCCCCCCACCAACAGTCTGCGAATCAGAGGCAAAGTAGGGCGGGTCTTCGCGGAATGCGGGTGGGAAAAATGCGTGTGTCGTGTCGTCTCTTTCAACCTGTCTGAGTCAGAGCGAGAGTTTAAAAAAAAAGAAAGTCAGAGCGAGAGTTAACAGCTCATCTAGTTGCATCTGTACTGTAGCTAGTAGCCTAGTTTCACCTACCGGGGTGGCATGGGGTGGTAACTGCCACCCTAAAAATAGGCCTTGCCACCCCAGCTGCCACCCCAGTTGGCAGCTTTGTTTTGAAAGAAAAGTTGTGGCTCATCGGACATTTATGAGAGAAAGTCTCTAATGTCCGAGTGCAAGTGAATGCAGCACAAGATGCACGTCTTGTAACCCCTCCCCCGTCCCTGGCGCGAGCGTGAAAATATGATTGGCGGAGATTTCATTTGAACGGTACGGCGCAAAACGAGAAGCATTCGGACCCAAGTACTGAAGGAATGAGGTATTTGCAGTCTACAATGACAGAGAAGAGACTGTCAAGTTTGGCTGTACTCAGCATTGAATCAAAACGCACTAAAGCTGTTGATCTTAATAAGTTTGTGAGGCGTTTTGCTGAACAAAATGGTAATCGCCGCATTCAGCTGTAATAGACATGTCAACTTGATGCTCTGCTCACGGATGAGCATACAAAACTGTTAAGATGATGACCTTACGTGTGTAAATATATTTTAACCACTTTGATTGAACTAGGCCAGTAGGTAAGGACATTCCACTGGATAATAACTGAAGTATAAAAGAATGCATGACTGAAGTGATGGAGACCATGTTTGAAGGCAAACAAAAAGAGGAAATAACAGGTCAAATCAAGCAAATCCCCCTCTCAGATTCCACAGCAACCAGAAGAACATAAATACTGGCTGGTGATTTGATGAATCAGCTTTGTGATGGAATAAAAAATGCACAGTGCATTTCCTTAGCTGTGGATGAGTCCACTGACACCACTGACAATGCTCAGTTGCTGGTGTTTGTGAGTTTTTATGATGAGGCAAAGGGGGAGTTTGTTGAAGATGTGTTGGGCCTGACGAACCTTAGTGGACACACAAGGGGGCAAGACATTTATAAAGCAATAATGGGAATGCTGGATGAAAGAGGGTGCAGCTGCCTTTATTCATAACTGTGCAGCTCTTACACTGCGACTCTGAGGGATCAAGCACAGACACAATAACAATGAAAACTGCTGCATACAGATTATTTTTGTTTTTGCAACCTTGTGTTAAGAATCTTGTTGCAATTGTTTAAAAGTTTGAATGACCGTAATAAACGGACCTTTGTCTTATTGAAACATTTTTTTTTTACCTTTAAGATTTGTATTTGATTACCCCTGGTTTAGGTCTATAGGAGAGAAGCACTCTAAGTATATGCCCGGTGTTAAGGGTGATTCAGTGCTGGCTAAGGGTAGGTGGTGGTTTATTTTCTTATAATTGTATCATTAAAGAAGTTCATAAAGTCATTGCTACTGATGGATGTAGGAATAGAAGACTCAATGGAGCTGTGACTCTCGGTCAGCCTGGCTACTGTACTAAAAAGAAACCTGGCATTGTTTTTATTTTCTTCCATTAGGGAGGAATAATAAGCTGCTCTGGCAGTGCGTAGTGCCATCTTATATTTTTTAAGGTTATCAAGCCAGAGTAACCGAAATTCTTCATGCTTGGTGGAGCGCCATTTCCTTTCAAGTTGCCTTGTCCTCTGCTTTATTATGCGTGTTTCATTGTTATGCCATGGAGCTAGTCTTCTTTGTTTCATTTTCTTAATTTTAAAAGGGGCAACAGAGTCCAGTGTTATTTTCAGCGCCCCTGTAACACTATCAATCATATGATCTATTTGGGGGGGCCTAAGGTTAGTAAAGGAGTCCTCCCTTGGACTGTGAGATGTTAATGAGCTAAGCACTGATGGCATTTTGTTCATAAATGTTGCTACAGCAGAATCTGATAGATTTCTTTTGTAGGCTTTCTTAAGCAGTGGCTTATAGTCTAATAACAGAACACCAAAAGTTAATAAGTAGTGATCAGATAAAACAGGATTATGAGCACTGACTGATAGATGCTCAATTTGAATACCGTATGTTAGAACAAGGTTGAGGGTGTGGTTGAAACAGTGGGTTGGTTGATGTACATTCTGTCTAAAACCAATTGAATCTAATAATGAGGTAAAAACAATATTGAGGCTATTATTATCAACGTCAACATGAATATTAAACTGACTAAACTGACTAAACTGGCCCTATGGTGGCTACGCCACTGCTCACAACTAACACTCACTGGAAGATTGAACCCTGGTATTGTACAACTCTGAATAAACATAAAACTAAACTGCATTCACCGACCGGAAATCATTTGTTATGTGTCTGCATATGGATCACTCTAAACCTCACCTTTGTAATAATGGCAATGGCAATAATTGCCATTACAGTCTGTGAGTGCTCAGGTTTCATTAGAAGTGACTAGATTTTCTGCTCAGAATGCTTTGAGGAATGTAAACACTGTCGGCATTTTGAATAAGAGACAGCTCTCTGGCCTTGGTCTGTATGTCTTATAAGGACACACAGCTATCTAAGTGCAGGTGACGTTCCTCCACACACTGAGTGCCCATGGTTCCTATTTTAGGTAAAACACTCCCATAGGTTGAGTTGACTCAACACAGGCTTTTCTTGCATCACTTTTATCTACTTATCATGCTGTTAAGAGGTCGCCTTTACACTAACCTTCGGTCACACAAGTTGGAGAACCCCTTATGGTCATGGTCGTTCAGTGAATGCCTAAAAGATCATTGAAATTACTCTTATCTGCAGAGTAAAGAGCTTTCCCAAACTTTTGTGGCAGCAACAGGAATATTGTGTCCCCTATTGAATATGAAACCATAAGTGTAGACATGTAGATTATTCAGTGAAGTATCTCACAGGAGTAGAAAAAATGAAATGAAATATAATTTATAAATATAGTATGAAACTGTTTGGAGAGATTGTGTTAGATTGGGAAGAAACAAAGATGTCATGCATACAAAGAGATGCTAGTAAATGTCCGGTTCATGATCTGCATGATGATGCTTGGTAGAGAAGACTGTCCGGTCCTAAATGGACACGTGGCCGCTCTCCCAGCCCGCTCTGGGGGTGGCGGTCACCTTGTACCGCGCCGGCTGGAGGACCACGCCAAACTTCCCCTGGAGACTGGGCAGAGAGTGTCCTGTGGGGACGGAGAGGGAGAAGCGCTGCAGGATCCACGACAGGAAGAGGAAGAGCTCCATCTTAGCCAAGGCCTCGCCCAGACACACCCTGACCCCCACTCCAAACGGCAGGTAGCTGCTGGACGGGACCCTCACTCCGGTGCCCTCACTGTTCAGGAAGCGAGCTGCAGAGGAACACACCGAGTCACAACAACACAAGCAGGTTCAACCACCAGACTGTGGCTCACACACTGAAAAAACTGAAACTGACTTTAAAGGGGACCTATCATGCAAAATACACTTTCTGATGTCTTTTATACATAAATATGTGTCCCCGGTGTGTAAGGAGACTCACAGTGTCAGAAAATAAAACCCTCTCTCTTTTCCTCCGTGCGCAAATCTCTAAAAACGGGGGTACAGCTGATCCTGATTTGCTGCCGATATTACATAATAAGAAATGTGGGCTGGCTTTACGCCCACGGCCCTATCAGAAACGTTGCTATCAGAAACAATGTGCAACGTGTTTTGGACGTAATATGGTCTGTGTTTAAATGAGCAAGCATCGCTAACACTCAGAGCTAACCTGTACTGGAGAGAGTATGTGTAAAGAAGCAGGATATAAAAGGTAGTGTCCTTGGGGTAAACCCGCGAGAGAAAAAGCATTTGAGCTCCATACTGTTTCAGAAATAATGCTTGATGTGGTTTTGAACATGATATGGCATTTAATCACGGCAGTGTTTAGCTGACAATCTGCCGGTCGAATCTCCCGCATAAGCTCCACCCCTTTCCCCCCCCTTTTTTTTTACATTTCTTTTTTTTTTAAAGCTTTATACCCAGAATCAGCACTTTAGTAACAGGGTGGAAATATAGGACATGAGGCATGGCTAGAATGGGTGATCTGTTTGGTATTTTGAGCAAAACACTTCAGAGACATGTTTTTTATATATTTTTATATATCTGAGACCTATGCTATTGCCTAAAAACAGCATGATAGGTGACCTTTAATTAAATGGATTATGTCAACAGTTATAAGGTAAGTTATGTATAACTAACCTTATAACTGTATAAGCTTAGTTAAAAGCAATAATATTAAGTTGAACCTAATATTTTGTATTTAAACTGAATATTATTGCTTTCAACTCATCTAATACAGTTATGTGAAATCTCTTGACCTAATACATTTAATTAAAGTTTGTTCAGTGTAGGTGGTCCACATGTGAAAAACTGTTTGATTTAACATTTTTCCTGCCAAAAATGCTAAGGCATTTAGGTTAAAGTACAGAAAATAAAGTGCTATCTGTACTATCTTGAAAGGTCATTTCGTCTTAATTTCAAAACTAAACAATGTAGCTATTATTATTGTTCTATTTGTTCAGGTTTTCACCCGAATATAATTTAAGTAGCTGAATTGATTTAGAACAACAACCACTTATCCCTGCAAGATGACATATAGACCAGGGGTACTCAAATACAAAACTTAAAGGTCCAAAAAAAATGTTTCAATAAGACAAAGGTCCGTTTATTACGGTCATTCAAACTTTTAAACAATTGCAACAAGATTCTTAACACGAGGTTGCAAAAACAAAAATAATCTGTATGCAGCAGTTTTCATTGTTATTGTGTCTGTGCTTGATCCCTCAGAGTCGCAGTGTAAGAGCTGCACAGTTATGAATAAAGGCAGCTGCACCCTCTTTCATCCAGCATTCCCATTATTGCTTTATAAATGTCTTGCCCCCTTGTACGTGCATCTTGTGCTGCATTCACTTGCACTCGGACATTAGAGACTTTCTCTCATAAATGTCAGATGAGCCACAACTTTTCTTTCAAAACAAAGCTGCCAACTGGGGTGGCAAGGCCTATTTTTAGGGTGGCAGTTACCACCCCATGCCACCCCGGTAGGTGAAACTAGGCTACTAGCTACAGTACAGATGCAACTAGATGAGCTGTTAACTCTCGCTCTGACTCAGACAGGTTGAAAGAGACGAGACACGCATTTTTCCCACCCGCATTCCGCGAAGACCCGCCTTACTGTGCCTCTGATTCGCAGACTGTTGGTGGGGGGGAAAAAACGCTGACGGGATGCTGAATGTGATTGGACCAAAGCGTTGACAGACACACACAGACAGTGGAACAGTCGGACATGCAGAGCGCTGTATGCAGTGGACATAGCGGAGAATTTTGACTCGTTGCGTTGTGGCGATGTCTCGCAGATAACACAGAGAATACAGATAATACATATGAAAAGTATAATTTGCTCAGAGTCCAGAGACAGTTGTGGTTTGGTCCGGATCCAGACCGGAGTCCGGACTTTGAGGATGCCTGATATAGAGTATCCTGAGCAACTAGGGTTTTATTTCTGAACAGATAATAGCACCAATAAGGACGTTCCATTGACACTAACTCTGTAGACACTAAGTTTTAATATTCTCCATGTTTTAAATGTTCTTATTTAAATTAATAATCCCACTATATTATCATTGCTCTAGGTGGTTGATAGCCAATGAACACTCAATGTTAACTCTACATCCTGTGTCCTAATAACAATAACAGAGATGGCTTAATCCTTTGAATTGTCAGAAATCTGGATCTTTGTTGAGTTCAGGTATTATCTGTCAAAAGCTTTCTCCCAGCAGGCATGAGAAAGGCTCCTCAATGCCAACTTTGAATCACACTTCAGTGCATCCTGTTCTTGGATCAGATATGGCACACATTGGACACAGTGTCCTCTCACCAGGGTCAAAGAGCTCAGGGTCTTTCCATTCCTTCTCATCGTGGTGCAGGGACCACAGGTTGATGACGACTCTGGTCCCCTTCCTCACTGTGAAGGGCCCAATGCTGCACAGATGACACACAGTGGTTCAGTGATTGCAGGTCTGCTTGGCGATGCCTGACAAAAATATCTTTGTAAAGATGAATATTAAGCACAATTTCCATAAGGAATCCAGAGCAGTCATGTGATCAGTATTTATCAGTAAATTGCTGCGATGTTGATCACCTGAATTATTTCCTTCCTGTGTGTCAGAGGGGGGGGGGGGGGGGTAAAGGCCCCTGTGTGAGTGTACCTGGTGTCACTGAGGGCCACATGTGGGATGAGCAGAGGGGCCACAGGCCGGATCCGTAACACCTCCCTGATGGTGGCCTCCAGGTAGGGCAGACTCCCCCTGTCACTGAGCTGGGGGGGCCGGTCCCCCCCCACCTTTCTGTCCAGCTCCTCTTGGATACGCCTCTGCACCTGAACCCACACACACACATACACGCACACAGTGGACATGAATATCCACGTTCTGTACCAACAATACACATTTACGATGGTGTGTGTGTGTGTGTGTGTGTGTGTGCGTGCGTGCGTGCGTGCGTGCGTGCGTGCGTGCGTGCGTGCGTGCGTGCGTGCGTGCGTGCGGGCGGGCGTGCGTGCGTGCGTGTGTGTGTGAAGGCGTGTTGTGGGTTTTGAAAGTTTTACTAAATCATAGTCACACTTACTAAGTGCAATACTGTGATAACCTAATAAGCCATTTAATAAAGCTGACATACTTCCTCAAAATCCTAACCTAGACTCACATGGGGAGTGACATGACCAGTGGTGTTTAGTTACTACAGACATTGACTCAGAAGTACTGTGCTGAAGTAACATTTTGAGAGACTTGTACTTTACTTGAGTATTTCCATGTTATGCTACTTTGTACTTCTTCTCCTCTACAGTTCAGAGGTACATGGTGTACTTCTACTCCACTACATGTATTTAATACCTTTAGTTACTTTACAGATGTGGATGAATGATGTGAAATATAATCAAGTGTTAAATCAGACTTTAGTTCCTCCTGGAGTAAATCCACAAGCTACCCTGCAGTATACAAAGTCATTCAAACTAGCTGCACCTTTACCAGCTTTGAGAACACTTTCATGATCAATCATTATAAAACATATCATATCTATTATCCTGAAATGAACCAATCTTTTACTTTTGGTACTTTAACTATATTTTGATGATAATTATTTTCCACTTTTACTTGAGTAACATTTTGAATGCAGGATTTTTTTAATGCAGTATTCCTACACTGTGTTACTTCTACTCAAGTACAAGATCTGAGTACTTAAATGTGGAAATATAATGACTTCCCCTATTTTGAATAGAGTCAGAGTAGCTTCTAGTGGAGTGCAGAGGAACCAGCTCAGTTATATTAGTACAAGTCAAAGAAAGGCAAGTTGAATAGCCAACTTAAACACTAAGTCAAACTCTAACTGAATTCAGACAGAGCGTGAAGCGTGTGTGAGCCAGAAGAATACAGGTCCAGGTACGTTACTGCTAAAGGGAGTCCTCCAAACACACAATATATGGAGGAGGAAAAAAAGCCCTTCACAGCCCAGGCAGAGCCAGCTGTGGTGCACTGTGCTGCTGATCCTACCTGAGGGTGATGGAGGATGTAGGCGATGGCCCATTTCAGCACTGTGGTGGTTGTCTCCACACCGGCTCCAAAGATGTCCCCCACAGTCATGAGGAGGTGGTCCTCACTGAGGCCCACAGACTCTGCGCTGATCTCTGCTGTGTTGTTGTTGTCGGCGCTGCGTTTGGCCCTCAGGAGCGCGTCCAGCAGGTCCCGCTGCACCTGGTCACTGTAGTCCGCCTGGTCAATGAACACAACACACATCACAATCATCGTCAATCAATTGTTGTGAGCCGGGGTCATCGCGGTGAGAGTTCCTATCACGTGTTGCTCCTGATGCATGAGGTGTGATGCTGTTGGATCGCTGCTTGTTTTCCACTGTCTCTCAGCCCGTTGCCTCAAACTGTTTTTCATTGATTCATATGAAACGTCATGCGATGCAACGAAATACAGGTCTTAGCGGTATGGAGTTAAATCTGGGCCGAAATATTGATTACATTCTTTTTTTTCATTTGTATTTATTCGCATTCAGATATTTGTTCCGCTTTCTGAAATAAAAAAAATACGACTTAAAAAGGGGAAAACGATCTGAACGAGAAAAAAAGATTTGAGATCCGGAAAAAGACATTCGGAATCTGAAAAAAATAATTACTTAGGTAAAAGAAATGTGTAAAACGAATAATTTGAACTCATTAAAAGTGTGCAACTTTATATTTTTTCCCTATTTTATCAGTGACAATTATATAAAGATTATATAAACTGTGGGTATTTGTTGGCTGCTTGATTATCTCACCTGTAAATGATAACCATTGTTGCCACTAGAGACAGATTGTATGCATATCACTATGCTGTACCTTGTGTTCATCATATTTCTTCTGTAGAAGTTTATCTCTGATGGAGACACACTGCTTCAGAAGACGCAGGTCTGCATTTGGAAAAATCTGTGAGAGAGAGTCAGATGTCATATACAGCATGATAATACATCATATAATTATATCATAATAATAGAGTAAATATATTTTCTCTATGTTGCAGTTTCCCCTTTTGTTTTCCCAGTATTCTTGTTATTTGACTCCAGATGGGTTGTATGGTCATAGTGGGTTTATATAGCCCATTGCTTCAATGACTTTTAACATCAGAAACCTTTGGATTCACCGTCATGTGGCCTGTAGTCAGCAGCAGGAGAGGACTGTTCCCCCAGAGGCTTTATGACAAACAGGTATCTATAGGATTTATGGGAAATGCAGTCATATACCATTAGGCTAGGTTTTTCAAGAGTCAATTAACCTTTATTGGCATTTCCATATCAAAAATACAGTATTGCCAAAGACACATTGTACAAGGTGGTGGTAAAGCAGTAAACAATCATGTTGACAATATTATGTCATAGGAAAGAAACTGAACATAGGATATCATCAACCAAATGAAAATTATGATAATACAAATAATATGAATGTAATGTACATAAAATGATGTACGTGTGTGTGTGTGTGTGTGTGTGTGTGTGTGTGTGTGTGTGTGTGTGTGTGTGTGTGTGTGTGTGTGTGTGTAGTCACTCACTGCTCCTCAGATTGTGGCAGGTCACAACATTTTTCTTTTATTTGTGCACAACAATGGCATGAGTGTTAATATTACTGATGTTAAAAAATACCCATGGTGCACCTTTTTTGTCTTCATGCAAGTATCCTGTCATTACTTTAGTCTTCTTGTTTATTAGCTTAGTGTCACATGACATGCTGTTTAATGTCCCTGCTGTGTACCTGTAACAAGGGGAAGATGTCCACCAGGCTGTCCTTGGCCACCGTGTCCACGATGCCCTGGCTGTAGCGCAGCATGTCCTCAAACTCCTCGTCTCCTCGGCTGTAGGAGGAGCTGAAGCACAGCGAGCAGACCACGTTGGTGACGGCCCGGGTCAGCTCAGGGGACAGGTCCAGAGCCAGCCCAGCAGCTGCTGCCTCCGACAGGACGGAGCACAGAGACCCGGCCTGGGCATGGACTGAGAAGGACACAGGACACACACCTTCACATAAAGAGCAGACACAGGACACACACCTTCACATAAAGAGCAGACACAGGACACACACCTTCACATAAAGAGCAGACACAGGACACACACCTTCACATAAAGAGCAGACACAGGACACACACCTTCACATAAAGAGCAGACACAGGACACACACCTTCACATAAAGAGCAGACACAGGACACACACCTTCACATAAAGAGCAGACACAGGACACACACCTTCACATAAAGAGCAGACACAGGACACACACCTTCATATAAAGAGCAGACACAGGACACACACCTTCACATAAAGAGCAGACACAGGACACACACCTTCATATAAAGAGCAGACACAGGACACACACCTTCACATAAAGAGCAGACACAGGACACACACCTTCACATAAAGAGCAGACACAGGACACACACCTTCATATAAAGAGCAGACACAGGACACACACCTTCACATAAAGAGCAGACACAGGACACACACCTTCATATAAAGAGCAGACACAGGACACACACCTTTACAATGCTCACTCTCTGAAGAGCGGACACACACGTTCACCTGTACTGTGTGTGTCCTTCCTCTGTGAGGTAAACTAATCAGTGAGCCTCACTGTTGCACTGGCTGACATGTTCCTTCATCACCAGGAGACACATGCACATATGCGCAGTGCAGCCCCCCCTCCCGCAGTGCAGCCCCCCACTCCCACAGTGCAGCCCCCCCTCCCGCAGTGCAGCCCCCCCTCCCGCAGTGCAACAATGCAATCAGACCTTTTACTTTAGTAAAAGTAGCAGAGTCTCAAGTTAGAACTAGAAAATGCATTTCCTGCAGAAAATGCGTGGGAATGCTGTAAACTGTGAACATTTGTGGCTGAATTTAGCTGAAAATGCAGAAAAAGCTGAATATGTTATTAGCTGAATGGTAGCTGCTTTTAGCTACAGAAATGCAGAAAAAGCTTAATATTTAAAAGATGCTCTTACCTGTGAGGCCTCCTCCAAACAGCATTATAACCAGACTGTATCATTAAAACTACAAGTACCAGTTCTAGATCCTTGACTTTAGACAAACAATTCAAAAGACAAAATGTATTTAAAGACCAATCTTTATTTGAAGGTGCCTCTTAACCTGAGATATTAGTTATACAGTAATAGTATTGACAATCTAAAAAAACTGAGCAACTCAACAGTCAACTTTATATTTCTTATTGTCTAAAGCATTTATTATTTTCATTTTCCCCTCTCATATTCAGTGTGGACGGATTGAGACAGCGTGGTGTCCAGAGAGCTGCAGAGACTTCAGGGAGAAACCTCCGTGTGATGAACGTCCAGTCTGTTGGTTTGGAGAGGACTGAGGGTCTTTCCTCTGCGAGGAGGACCAGACCTGATGGAGGAACCCATGCTGGGCATAGCTGATACCACCTGCACAGGCCTTGTCTGTCACTTTATTTAACTAAATGTGTTTACTTATACATTTAATAGGTTTACACCTTCTGTCCATATGTGCTTTTTATTTAAAACTAGGGCTGTCAAGTTAACGCGTTAATAACGCAAAAAAAAATGAACGCCACTAATTATTTTAACGCGATTAACGCATGTGTATTTTTTGTCCTCGGCCGCCCCGTAGTTTCAGAGCGCATCGAGTTTAAAATACCATCTACAAGCTGATGCTGACAGCCCCGCTCCTCCCGCCCGCTTGTGGCAGACCACACTTCCACGCTCACCGGCAGGCCCGGACTGGCCATCGGGAGGACCGGGAGGGTGTGTGTATGTGTGGCGCGACTCGAGCGAGGCACACCTTACGTGTTGTTGTTGTTGTTAGCATCTGGTGGTAGCTAGCTGCGCTAACGGATATAAGGAGCTGTTTCAATGAAAACAGAGGAGCGACATTTCGCTGACAACTGCGCCGAGCACTTGACTTTATGCAGGTAGCCAGACACTGGGACATTGTACGAAAAGTCAGCACACTCAGCACGGATAGTGCGCGCAACATGATTGCAGCATCCAGGCAGCTCCCGTTCGAGCATATGCCTTGAGCTGCACATAGCTCGAATGATCCATCACAGTGTCTCCACATTCACACACACACACACACACACACACACACACACACACACACACACACACACACACACTTTGTATTGTATTATTGTATGAGAGAGGTTCCAGGTTGAATTGAGGCGAATATTTGTAATGTTCAGAGGTTGTTGTGTTTAATATTCATGAGAATATTTGTCATTGTTCAAATGATAATAAACAAACATATAAAGCATATTTGTCCACTCATATGTTGATAAGAGTATTAAAAACTTGAAAAAGATCCCTCTAAGGTACATTTAGAACAGATAAAAAATGTGCGATTAATTTGCGATTAATCGCGATTAACTATGGACAATCATGCGATTAATCGCGATTAAATATTTTAATCGACTGACAGCCCTATTTAAAACATGTTTGATTAACTTTTGGTTCACATTTCAATAAATTGAATTTGTATTTGCACTCCTTTTGTCCATTATTCTTACTGAAAATGTTAGATTACACATTCACATCTGACTGAAGATTGGCCCCATTTATTTGTGACGTTGCAAACTCTGCGGTACAAGGTACAGGTGTTGTGAAGCTCATAAAGTGAGGCAAATAGAAATAATCAGCTGATGGAGTGTAGATGTGGAAATAGGTGCATTCGATCAGCTGACTTCACAATAAAAGTAGTTTCTTAGTGAATGTCCTGTACTGGTCTTAAAATCTCATAACATCAGCTTTTAATTTTCCTATTGGATGTTCTTCTTGACCCTCAGAGAAGGAGAAAATGTTGAGTCGTGTCTTTCAGGCATGTCCTTTCCTAACAAAAATTACAGGAAACATAAAACATATTATTATTGTGTTATTTATGAAAGCGGTGTGTTTGTGTGTTTAGGGGCTGTAGATATAATTATTTTATATGTTTTGTATGTTTGTTTTTTTATTTCAACAGCTACAAAGACTATCAGATTATGAATGAACAGTATGAAATGCATCAACATTGAAATATATTTTATTATCAAAATAATATTGAACTGTAAAAGCTTGCTCTGTTGTCTCACTGAAAGAATAACTTTTACCACGTTTTTACAGACAATATTGAGAGATAAATAGCAGTTGTCACTATGCGTTAAATATCTTTGCCTTCAATACATTAAATTAGAAAGCTGACAAGTCATATTGCTTGTTAACATCTAAATGTAACCTTTTGCATGGAAAAAACCCTCAACTTAACTGATGTGTAGGTGATCTAGTATTTAGTATTGTTTAATGGAATGTATATCAGTGTATTAAAGTCAATACTTCATTTATTTAAACCAATATCTTTCTTGATTCTTTGTACAGTATGAAAAAAGAGTATTTGTACCTGTGCTGAAGTTCACTGCTGTGAGGAGTCCAGTTCTGTCTCTCACTCTCTGGTCCAGCCTGTCTGCATCACCTGGACACTTTAAACAAACAGATATATATGTAAAGTACCATGTGTACAAACAATATAACTTATTCTCTACTGTTGAACATGTTGGATTGTGTATTGCCCGAGTCAGGGTCCTTTTTATTTTACTGTAACTTTGGAAGTTGTGTTACCAATGCTTACTGTTTATTTGATACCAATTTGGTAATGCAATTAATAAAAACAACAAGGTTTGGGTTCGTTCTTCAGATGACTGACGTTAACGTGTAAGCTCAATAATGAACTCCAGCTCAACCAACCATATTGTAATATCCAAGTAATCATCTTGAAATATGACATTAATAATTGTAATATACACACATCTTATTGTGAGGTTGATTTCACATACACTACTTCGACGTTAGCTTGTCTACATACTCGAGCATAGCCAATTTAAATTAACCTTAGCGATGCATACAGTTACTACCTACATAATAACATATCTCTAAGTTACAAGGATGACCTTATTTTATCAACCTCAAACAGAAGCCGTTTGTTCTACAGTATTATCCCACTTAACGCTCACTTGTCTATTTCGTTTTAACCTTTATATATACAGTCTATGGTTTTAACTTGGAGGCTACGATTAGCATCGTTAGCACCGATGTAGCTACCACTCGCTTTCACGCTAACACATTCATTACGTAGCTGATTAAAATCACAAACACATAAATAAAAATAAAGTACTCGAATTTCACTTACCGCAAAACGGCATTCATGCACCGTCTGTTTTAACCGCAGAGCGAGTCACAATAGTCCGATATATAAGCATGAAGAACAAACAAACACGGCCGGGGTCAAGTTGTGTTCCCTGGATGAACTGAGCAGGCAGAGTCCCTGTAGCTTCACGGAGACGGAGCAGCTAGCAGAGAGACAAGAAGCTAACAGCAGCAGTCACTTGACAGAGCTGTCACTCAATGTGACCACGCCCTAATTTATGCAAAAACTTTAAGACCTAATATAAATAAAAGGGTCATGTTAGAAAACAATTCACTCACAGATCCATAATCATGAAGGTGGAATCTAACTATATCTATAATAATATTTATTGGATCCATGGGTAGAAACATGTTTTTTTAGGCTGTAAAATTGGGCATTTTAACATGGGGGTCTATGGAAATTGCTCCTTTCTGCAGTCAGCGCCTATCGGCCAATATATGAACTGCAGTTTGTGGCATTTCCGTATTGGCGTCCCGGCTCTTCCCCAGAGTTTGCCGCTTGGTGTAAACCCAGAGATGAAAGGTTACCATGGTGACGACTTATGACGATTTACCAACTGCAGCACTGAGTCCCATTAAGAATGCATTGAGGATTATATCTGACAATTTTGCCACCTGTTCAAAAGCTATGGCTCCTATCAAAAGATTACCAGACCGTGAGCATCAGGGAACCCCAATGAACTGATATATGTTGTTTTTTTTGGTTTTGTGTGTAAAATGTGGAGATGGGAGCAGTTTGTCTAAAGTGTACTTCTCTCTGTTCTGAAGAAAGTTCCGGAAAGATTTAACATGGGAATCAATTGGGAGCTAGATGGACTTGTTGTCTCTTCATGCCCTCAAGAGGCATTTTGTTTAATATTTCTTCTTAATTATTTTTTATTTTCCAACCTAGGAGAGGTTTTCCTACGTTTTTCATGAAAAAATATGTCTAAGGAGTGTAGGGTTTGGTAATTATGGCAAGTTTAAAACATTTTTTGGGGAGAATTTGAAGCACTGCTGCACTCTGTTTTGAGATCAAAGCACTTAACGAGCTGCTCCATCCACACTAATGTTAAAATCTAAAAAAGGCCTCTCTACCAAGCTCCAAACTAAGTTAAATATCTCAAAAAGTGTAAAAGATATCAAAAATAAAAATCAATTTTGAATAGCTGAAGGTCTTGTGATCATTTGAAAGTTGGAATGAAGTGTCTAGCTGAAAGTATGTGGAAGGAGTAGCATTTGGCGCAAAGTGTAGGAAAAGAGGATTTGAAGGCATTTCCCATTGACTTCCATGTTAAAAAAAGAGTTTAAAAAGCTGAATATTTCAAGAAGTATAAAATATTTTTAAAAATGTGAAGGTTTCCCATCGATTCCTGAACAGGCTGAAATAATAATAATAAGGGGAAGAATAAAGATTTGAAGTACTATAGTGGAATGCTGTGGCACAGCATTCGCACTAAATATTCCATTATAAGTAAGAGTTTCACATTTTAAATCTTACCCAAAGTCAAGAAGTATTTGCAGCAAACTGTACTTTAAGTATCATAGCATTCATCCTGCATCATTTTTGTGTCATTTCTGCATCAGATGTTGTTTTTAAACTACTTTTTACACTGTTGGGTGCTTTAATGTTCAGTGTAAGAATGCTTCATGTCTTATAAAATGATAATACTATGTAAAACTCTGATCTACTAAGTTACTAAAGTTGTCAGATAAATGTAGCGAAGGGAACAGTAGAATATTTTTCTCTGAACTGTAGTGCAGCACAAGTATACATTAATTTGTGTTTTTAAATATTGTATTTAACAACAGTAAGTACAAGTACATGAATAAATGTACTTACATTCTACACTGGATGGTGCAGGTACTGTGTATGGCTTGTTTAACACTCTTTCATATGTGAGTACTGCTCCTGGTATTGCTGACATGTGAGCATTGTCATTAGGACAATGGAACATAATCCTACACTACAGCTCCTTCATACATGCCATGCATTACATCCATGGATCAAATCTCAACATCCTAAACAAAATCACAAAGTGCAAAATGATAACAACAGAGGGTCATCTGTTAGTCCATGGACACAAGTAATTATTAACTTTGAAGAATGATTAAGAAAAATGCCGAAAAGGTTTCTGACTTCTCAAATGAGAATTCTGTTTCCTTCGACTTCTTTGGTGGTATAGTGAATACCTTTGGATTTAGGATCTTTTTAGAAAATAGCGAATGGATAATGAAGTTAGTCATTATCAGTCGTTTTTGGAAGAAAAAATCTTAGAGGAATATAAAACCAAAAGCATTTGCATGTTGAAATACAAAGAGGGAAGACAGCATGTTTTTGTAATGGGAGGACTGACCCTTTAACTCTCTTTTAGACTCCTCAGTAAAGCTGTCTGCAGCGTCATGTGACCAGAGGAGTCCTGTGTACTCACTGATCTTCTCGATGGAGGCAGAGCCCTCCCCAAACATGCACAGAGCTCCATGCACGATCTTCCTGTGGAACCTCCAGGCAGCGCTGTAGTCTCCAAATGCAATGTCTCTCCCATCTCTGGTCAGAATGTCTGTGGTCACCTTCATCACACAGCACAGGATGGAAAAGGAAAAACATCAATGACTGCTGCTGCTAATGCTAACATGGAGACAAGGAGAGGAGGTTTACCCACAGTTCTTGGTCTTCCGGCGAATATCTTCCCCTTCTTCAGCAGGACTTCTTTAGCGTGTGTGTGCTGGTTGACTACGATGACACAGTGGGAGCCCAGCATCAGAGAGTACGTCTGTCCGTATTTCTGCTGCAGCTCTTTAAAAAGCACATGAGGGGGGTGCGGGCTCCGCAGACTGAGCAGACTACCGATCAGAGGCAGTGCTGGGAGATGAGGGGGCTCCTGGGGGCCATGTGCGGACATTCTGAGCTTCAACTGCAGAGCTAACAAAACCAGGCCCACCACCAAAAATACACCCAGATACAGGAACCAAGCCATATCCACAACAGAGGGCCCTGACAGAGGGAGGCCAGGCGTCACAGAGGGGTTCTTCAGGAAGCCCCCCAGCTGCTGCACACACACGCCTTTATACACTCCTTCAATGCCACAGCCTTCACTCGCAGTGCGTAAGGCTGGGCCAACCTAAACAAGATAAGATCACACTTGATTCATTGAATCCTTGCAAAAACCGTGACAGGACTTTTAACCTTAACTCGGACACAGCTGTCAGCAGAGGAGCCACACTGCACTGAGGCCTGGTCCACTCGCTGATCCCAGATCCATTACCTGATGGTGCTTTGCAGATCATTTCATGCTATCATACAATGGTATACTTATATGCAACACTTTATAAAGGAAATGAAAGGGCTAGTTTGAATACTGCAGTTTATAATTAATTCAAATATAACAGTTAACACCTTTGTGTTTAAGTTTTTTATTATTTTATTTAAAGTGGACCTATCATGCTATATTTGAATAATATAGTGTAGGACCATACCTATATAAGGCATATTTATACTTTTTTTTTTTCAAAATACCAAACAGATCATGCATTTTAGCCATGCCTCATTTTGCTCAATTTGACATTTTTTAGATCTGTTTTAGCAAGGGCAGATTCTGTGATCCTCCTGATTGGTGGAGTTGGCCCAATAGCCGTAGCGCCACTGTCCTGACGTCAGGACAGTGTTCAAATCTGGATCAGTTTTTATCAGATCCGTTGCAGCCCCTTTTTTTAGAGATTTGGGTATGGAGGAAAATAGAGAGGGTTGTGTTTTCTGACACTTGGTGAGTTCCCTGGAACACCGGGGACACATATTCATGTATAAAAGACGTACAAAAGTGCATTTTGCATGATAGGTCCCCTTTAAGTACCGTCAGTCATGCCCAACACTCCGAATGTTTTGCACATTTGTATACTAAAGTACCTTATTTAATATCTTTGACTGTGTTTATGTACACCAAGGCAAATTACTCGTATGTGTAAACCTATTGGCAATAAACCTGTTTCTAATTATCATGTGAACTCTGGCTTTGTTCACTTGGTCGTGTGTATATACAGTATATGATTGCGACAGTTTAATGGCCATTTATATATCAGAAGCATTTGAAAATGAAATACAAAGTAAAACAGGACGCAACATAAAGTGAGGGGATCGCTCTGATGGACGCGCTGCGGTGTATTTTGACCCTGCTCTCTCGCCGTCTCCAGTACAAACACAACATGGCGTCAGCAGAGACCCAGCCGCGGTTCGGCCAGTCTGTCAAAGGCTTACTCTCCGACAAGGTGGGCTCCTGTAGCGGGGATGTGATCGCGCTGACCCGCCAAGTGCTAAAGGGATCCCGCAGTCAGGAGGTAAAGCCCCGCGAAGGATGTAATCACGTCAAACAGCTAATAGCTAATAGCTAACAGGCTAGCACAGAGAAACCTCCTGTAGAGTCAGAAAGAATCGGAGGAGGCCAAAACATCTGTGACCCCATCAGTCAATCACTTCGTATTCAGAAATGATGTTCATATTCGTATTCGTATTATTGATCATTAAAGTGTTCTCAAAGCTGGTAAAGGTGCAGCTATGACTTTGTATACTGCAGGGTAGCTTGTGAATTTACTCCAGGTGGAACTAAAGTCTGATTTAAGTGTTGATTATATTTCACATCATTCATCCAAATCTGTAAAGTAACTAAAGGGATTAAATAAATATTTACATTTACCTCTGAATTGTATGGAGTAGAAGTACAAAGTAGCAAAACATGGAAATACTTAAGTAAAGTACATGTATCTAAAAAATAAGTTTGGGTAATTTAAAGGTGGGGTAGGTAATTTTGGAGAAACCAGCTCGAGTGCGCTAGAATTTGAAAATACACAACTGGAAAAAATCTGCTACTTCTTTACAGAGCCCCTCCTCCAACACACACGCACGCGCACATGACCAATGAGGGCACGAGATAAGTTTGTGCACAGATGGAAGGCTGACAGGCAGGTAGGCCATCCAGTTATTTTAGCCGGGCCGGCTAAAATGATTGGCTTTTTACAGTACTACGGCTTCCACAGATGACATTTTTTTATGGATTTTTGGTCAAAGCACTTAAGATATTCATTGCTATCGGGATGTTAAGAGCATTCCATGGAATATAACAAAAAGTGTGTCTCGAGCCGGTTTCTCAAACTTACCTACCCCAACTTTAACTTAAAGTGGACCTATTATGCTATATTTGAAAAATATATTGTATGTATACAAAACATGTCTGAAGTTTTTTGCTTAAAATACCAAACAGATCACCCATTGTAGCATGCCTCATACCCCTCTATTTCAGCCCTGTTCCAAAAAGGCTGATTCTGTGACCGTAGCTTTAAATGGAACAGCTGCTGCTAGCCACGCCCCTTTGTAGCGTCACGCAGCTTTCCCCTGCTAAGAGAGTTTTCTACCGGGAGAAACTCAGCTAAACGCTGCCGTGATTAAGTGCCATATTATGTTCCAAACCACTTCAAGCATTATTTCTGAAACAGTATGGAGCTCAAAACGTTCTCTCTCGCAGGGTTTACCGCAAGGACATTACGTTACACATATGTGACTTACTCTATCGAAATCAGTCGCATTGACCCGAAGACACATTTTGAGTTGTATAGGCCTACACTGTTGGAAAGAGGAGATTCCTAGCTTTCTAATGATATCAGGATTGTTGTTGTACTCCAAATATTAAGCAAAATATGTCACATTATATAATGACTGTCACCGAGTCATCATTTTGAGAAAAAGGCCTTCAAAGTTTCCTCTTCTCTGGAATCCATCAATCTGATTGATTATTAGCGGCTAATAAATTATCAAAGTAGACACGAAAAATATTTTCGTCTGGTCAGGGGGAAGCTCGCGAGTGTGTGTGTGTGTGTGTGTGTTTGTGTGTTTTTGCATTTGTGTGTATTGTGTTTGTTTCCTGGGGAAAACCCTTTACAAGCTTCAAACATGTATTTATCGTGTGATTTTGGAATTAAAAGTTTGATATTCTGAAAGCCAAGACTTTGTTTATTTAAAATGAAACAAAACACCCGAACCCCGAAAAACTATTTTTTTACGCAAATCCACGTTTATTTTTAAATGAGCCGTTGCGACTTCCGACTGATTTCGATAGAGTGCGTCACATATTCTCTCCAGTACAGCGTTAGCTCTGAGTGTTAGCGATGCTTGCTAATGTAAACACAGACCATATTACTCCCAAAACACGCAGCGCATTGTTTCTGATACAGCACATAGCTTGACATGTTCTTTCTTAAGTGTTTACCGCTAGAACAGTGCCATTATATGTATTATATATAACAACTTTACTCTAAGTGCCTCCTGCAGACATCCTGCTGAATACACAGACACACGAGAGGGGATTCAGCTAGACGGCTGTATACGGAGACGATAGGTTGGGACGTGTCACGTGTGCCACATTTCGCCATTGACGTCAGAGGAGAAAAATCCTGGATCTGCTCGTTTGCACCCCGATTTGTTTTTTTTGGGGTGGTATTTCTTTCAGGGTTGTATTTTCTGACACTTTGTGAGTCTCCTTACACACTGGGGACACATATTTATGTATAAAAGACATAAAAAAGTGCATTTTGCATAATAGGGTCCTTGAGGAAAAACTTTGGCACAATATATCTACTGAACATGTTGCTAGCATTAGCATTCCTGCTTCATAGATTAGCAGTTCTGCCTCTAGTTGCATCTCACTTCATTATAAACGCTTAGTCGACGTATTGAATTCTTGTTTGAAGATTTGCAGGCTCCTGCATTCCTGTTTTGAGAAGTGTCTGCTTTTTTGTCTTCTGTGACATTAAACTGATGTTTTTTTCCTGACAAGACAGGAAGTTTGAAGAAGTTTAGGAAACCTTGAGTGTTATTAGTTTGACAGAACAATTGGCAGATGAGAGGATCATGAACATTGTGTCTCTGTCTCTCTCAGCTTCTGGGACAAGCAGCAAGGAATATGGTGATCCAGGAGGACGCTATCCTTCACTCTGAGGATGTACGTATGAGCACAGAGTCAGTGAACACACCACAGACAATAAACACACACAACAGTACCACACACTGAAGACTACATCCCATCTCACTGTTGACACTTGTTCTGCTCTTTTTGTGTAATTACAAAAACGTCTTCATTATCATTTGTCTTCCAGAGTCTGAGAAAAATGTCCATAATTACGACACATCTACAATACCAGTGAGTACCAGCCAGCTGTTTATCCAGACATTATGTTGCTCTATTGGAAGTGAATATTAAGTCTGTCTGTCTGCCTGTCTGTCTGTTAGGCAGGAGGCCATCCAGAAGAAGTAAGTCTCCCCACCGCACTGTGTTTATGCCTCATGAGAAACAGACTGAGAGTTAACACAAAGTGATGACCTGCTCCTCTCACCCCCCCCCCCCCCTGCAGTGTAGAGCACTCAAAAAACCTGCAGGACCAGCTGAGACACCTTCTGAAGTGATGCCACTAACACCAAGCCTCTACAATGTAAGGGCCTGGGAACATTTTTTATTAAATAATGTCAAATGTTTTAAATCAATTGTATTAAGTTAATGTATTAAATTCTTTGTTTGTGTCATCTTGTCTAACGTAACGGCGCCCTGTAAATCAGACTGCATACAGCTGAGGGAGCTAATGGTAAAGGGACACATTGTTCTCAGTGGAGTCAGAGACCTTACCAGTGCATAACTTCTGTAATACTACATATATGTATATATATATATATATATATATATATGTAGTATTACAGAAGTTAGTGATTGATGCTATTTTAACATGCACAGCCTCAGACCACAGATTAGGAAAGACTGTAATCACAGATTAAAGTATTGCGGGGGCACTGTTCAGACCCAGCAGTGTTACAGAATATGACAGGTGGAAGGTCATAATTCAAAGAAGTTTTCTCCACAAAGCTGAGCCCTGGACAGTTATCGGCAGCCTGAGGGCCGAACAGCTGCTTGGCCCTGACTCTGTCCCTGAGGCTCTCCCTGCTGCACATGGCCCCCACTGGCCCTCAGCCCCTCAGCATACCCCTGTTTGTAGATCGTTCTGGAAATGTTATACATTCATCAGGATGCTGTATCTTAAGAAGGGATGCAGCTCTGAGAGAAACATGACTGTGTGACATATTTGTGGGCCATGGAGAGGATAAACTATACTGAGGGCATGATTTAGCTATTCATATGAATTCATTCTTACTTCAATCTTTCCTATGTTGGTTTTTCATTCCCAGTTATTTCAGGATGGTTCAGGTTTTGATGAGGTGGCAATGAATGTGCCCCGCCAGCTAATAATCCCCCTAATGTAGGAATACTGCTCTCTGCACACACACTAGTGTCATCACACTATGACTATGACACCCTTTAAACTGGGGTTTTTCATTTTTTGGAAGTGTTTCCTTGTACGACGTGAGGGTCTAAGGACAGAGGGTGTCGTATTGTCATACTGATATTCTGTACAAACTGAAGTCCACTGAGACAAATGTAACATTTGTGATATTGGGCTATATAAATAAACATTGATTGATCACACTGTGTGTGCCTGACGTGTGAGACATTTTCATGATTCTTTGAATGGCTTTACAAATAAAGTTATTATGGTGATATTTTGTGTCATTATTTGTCTTATGTTCTCCCTCCATCCTCAGAAAGGTGTTGCATTATAATTATTCTGCATGTGTATTTGACAACCTGTTTAAATGAAGGGAAAGTCAGACTTCAGCTGTTTCACTCTAACTCCCCCCCCTTCATAAACCTTGAGTGTGAATCGTGTTCTTGTTCGAGACAGCAAGGGATCTCATCAGAGTCCGAGGTCTGCGAGGATGCAGGGCCAGGGACAAATGTTTACACTGAAGCCACTCTTGAATCTGATCCCAGACCAGCATCTGCGAAGACAGGTCATCATACACTGTCACAGACGGATGTCAGGGTACAGAGGATGAACAGCATGGTGATGGTCCTGCAGGTCAACTATAACCGTCCTGGGCGTGTCCTGTACAGGACATTGACACAAAACGAACATGAGACCAGTGCACCTGCATTAGTTATATTCATATACAGTCTGTGGTTATATTATACACTCATTTCAGTTTCACTTTGTCATTATGCACTGAGGGTCCCAGTGAGCCTCTGCACACCCAGAGCTACCAAGACAGAGTGTCTCTTTAAATTTGAGTCTAATGTGCTGAACACTCAGAAGCTGACACTTCACAGTGTTATAGCGGACATTAAAGTAATGAAGGTTACATGAAGACACCAGGTTCTGAGGTTCATCTCAATGTCCCTCCTCGACTCCTCTCTCCCTCCTCCGGGACTTGACCCGGAAATCGATCAAGACACGCCATGTTGAAGGACGTCCCAATGCTGAAATGCACACGGAGGCCCAATCCCAAACCACTCCCTCGACCCTACCCCTCCGTGACGGAGTGAACTCCGTCTGTAGCCACACTCGCAGCTGAATGAAGTTCCCTCCATTAAGGAAGGGTATAAATACAGCGCACCGCATTGGGACGGCCTCCCCTCTCTCCGGCAGAAACAGGAAATGCCGTAACTGTATGTAACAACGGTTTCAAATCAGCATCTCTTAGACAAACAATTTAAATTAAGAACTCAAATAAAACTCCAAACATCTTTAATTGTGTTACTTTTTCTGTAAAGCTCTTTTAGTTTTAAACCTGATGTTTATAAGCTTCTTAGTTTTTGCAACAATCTGTAAATATACACAACTATATAATAAAATGCACACATTTACCTTTTTCTAGACTAAACACAGGTATATGATCCTAAGTTAAAAACATAAGAGGTTATCATGAGGTTGTTCACATCGCAGTTTATCAGTGGATGTTTGCTGGAACTGTTTGTAAACAGCGTGTTTCCTGACGGACACACACAGCGTGACTCCGGTCAGGTAGAGACCGGTCTCCAGTCAGCACCGCTGCAGACTCGCTGTTTAGGGCTAGTGTGTAGGGGTAGGGTGTAGGGGGCGGTTTGGGATTGGGCCGGAGGAGTCGAGGAGGGGTGAGGGAGGAGGCTTCCAGAGGAGGCTTCCAGAGGAGACGAAGGCCCAATCCCAAACCACTCCCTCGAACCTACCCCTCCGTGACGGAGTGAACTCCGTCTGTAGCCACACTCGCAGCTGAATGAAGTTCCCTCCTGTCAGATGGAGGGAGTAGATACAGCGGCAAGCTTTGGGACGGCCTCCCCTCTCTCCGGCAGAAACAGGAAATGCCGTAACTGTATGTAACAACGGTTTCAAATCAGCATCTCTTAGACAAAACATGTAAATTAATAACTCAAATAAAACTCCAAACATCTTTAATTGTGTTACTTTTTTGTAAAGCTCTTTTAGTTTTAAACCTGATGTTTATAAGCTTCTTAGTTTTTGCAACAATCTGTACATATACACAACTTTATAATAAAATGCACACATTTACCTTTTTCTAGACTAAACACAGGTATATGATCCTAAGTTAAAAACATAAGAGGTTATCATGAGGTTGTTAACATCGCAGTTTATCAGTGGATGTTTGCTGGAACTGTTTGTAAACAGCGTGTTTCCTGACAGACACACACAGCGTGTTTCCTGACGGACACACACAGCGTTGACTCCGGTCAGGTAGAGACCGGTGTCACCATAGGTATATATAAATATAAAAAGTGTATAAAAGTGTTTATATATATCTATGGGTGTCACTACCCGATATGCCGCCCTGCCCTATCTGCAGTGCGCATGTGCGAGATGGTCCGCCATATAGAGAGGCGAAGTCCCTCCCCTTCCGGTGGACCTCCATGGCACCTTATTTCGGAAAAATTATGTATTGAAGTCAATGGAGAGAGAAAGATTATCTTTCGATCCCGTTTGAATTGTGCCACGAATTACACATATGATGTTTGTCAATTTAAAAGATAATTTTGCAAGTTAAAAAAAAAAAGTGTCGTAAAACTGTGAAGTAACACATTTGTTTGTGTGAAACGCTCAATGAACTACATCTCTGGTCTCGCAGACTCGCACAACAACACACGTCACCAAGATGGCCGTCACTACTGTCTTGTCAACAAAACGATTGACTACCCTCACTATCACCACAATGAAACACGTCCTGAAGAAAGTCATGCAAAGCTGCCTGCCTGCCTTCTTTTGATTCTCTCTGAACTGCCTGGTCTTTTTAATGTTTAATGTCAACCATTTGTGCAGATAGCATGAAGTGCAAAAGATCGCAGATGCTAGCGTTAGCGTTAGCATTTCTCCCCCGGTCTTAAAGTGTGTATTATAGAATGATCACACCGGTGACAGATCATCTAAATTTGCCGAAACAAGTTTAATATTCTGAAAGCCAAGACTTTGTTTATTTGAAATCAGATGAAAACAAACTGTAACGGAACCTGCCGTGTTATCTATGATTACTATACGCCTTACATTCATAATTTCAGCCGGAGGAGGGGGTGCGCCGCTGCGGAAGAGCAGAGTGCGAGCCAGAGGTGCCTGTCATCTTCCCTTTACAAGCTTCAATGTATTTATTGTGTGATTTTGGAAATAAAAGTTTCATATTCTGAAAGCCAAGACTTTGTTTATTTAAAATCAAACAAAACACCCGAACCCCGAAAAACTAGTTTTTTACGCAAATCCACGTTTATTTTGAAATGAGCCGTTGCGACTTCCGACTGATTTCGATAGAGCGGGTCACATATGACTACTACTCTTACTAACATTTTGGGTTACTTAATGTTACTTCATGTTAAGGCTAATAAAAATGACATGGCTGTAATGCTAACTAACGTGCTAGCTACTAGCTAGTTTGATCCAGACACTGCTGGTCCTTTCATCAGACGGGAAGCGAAAGAACGAGCAAGACCCATTGCTGGTATGATAACAACCTGGTACTAAGCACACAGGCATCTTGTTAAAGTTATCTTATCTTAGCCAGCGCCATATAGATAGATTATATCTATATGGCGCTGATCTTAGCTATCAGTGGAGGAAAACAATTGTGACATCACTTACATCAGGACTCTGGGATTTGTAGTCTTTCTAGTTGCGTATTTTTCATAGTCTTATATTTCAACAGTTTTACGACAAACTGTGACTTTTTTGACATGGAAATGATTTTTTAAGATTGACAAACATCATATGTGTAATTCATGGCACAATTCAAACGGGATCGAAAGATACGTTTTCTCTCTCCATTGACTTCAATACATTATTTTTCCGAAATAAGGTCCCATGGGGCGGAAGTAGATGGGCGTGACTTCGCCACTCTATCGCACAACTCCGTACGGCAACCCAACTAGGACACTTGACACAGTGGCATTTGGCAAAGCACACAAAGAAAACTCCGAAAACCGAGAGAGATGAGTTATTGTTATTACAACGTGACTTTACTATTATTTAACAACTCTTTTTATTGGGTTCTTTTATTTGGGTTTAAGTACATTGTCAGAATAAGTGAGAAATGGATTTAACTTCTGTTAGACAGCTATCATACTGAATAAATATTTACTGTGAATGTATGCAAAAATGTATGGCATATAGCTGTCTAACAGAAGTTAAATCCATTTCTCACTTATTCTGACAATGTATTTAACCCCAAATAAAAGAACCCAATAAAAAGAGTTGTTAAATAATAGTGAAGTCACGTTGTAATAACAATAATCTCTCTCGGTTCTTTTTCTGCTTTGCCAAAAGCCACTGTGTCAAGTGTCCTATTAGAGTTGCTGTATGTAGTTGTCAAATACGGCGGACCATCTCGCACATGCGCACTGCAGATAGGGCAGGGCTGCAGATCGGGTAGTGACAACTGGGTTGCGGTCGAATAGTCCAAAAATCAGCTCCTAAGTTCTAACCCTATCGTCTATTCCTTGACCTCTGAGTGAAACGTCACGGGGTTAAGGGATAGTGGATAGGATAATTCAAAAGGACTTAGGAGAAGAGACTGCGGTACTTTAGAGAATCCGACTGCACTTTCACTATCCGACGTGTTTATGATGCGCCAGCGGAGGTCATAAATGTGCGCCTGCTGCTGTGGGGAAACTATGGAAACTACAGTTTTCTATACAGCGGACAGTGACGTGCGGTGAGGTTCATGGCTGGTGAGGCACTGACTCTTTCAGAGTCAGATTTACAAATATTATAGCCTATTTTGACCTTAATTGAAATATTCTGTTATTTTCAAAAGTTTTTTAGTCTGATGCTATGATTAATTTTAAACAGACCAATCAAAAGGATACCCAAAATCTAAATATTGGATTGTTCTTTCTAAGTAAGATCCCATTTTCATTACAGTTGTGGTCTTACCTTGACTTGAAGATGAATATAAGTCCATGCTATCCTTCTGGACAACAATCTCTATTACTGTTTTGTAAAAGTCCTCCTTATCTTCCTGTAGTTTCAAAAGTCTAGTTTGTTGTTTGCGGTAGAATAACAGTAGCAACAAGAACCTGTGGGCTCACGTGCGCCCCCTTCAGTGCGGCAGAGGTTATGGCTGCCTCTCTTGGTGCTTTTTTCATTGCCGTTGTATGATGAGACCAGCAAGCCTAAATATCATATATACGTGAAATAAGTTATTTAGAGACTATGGATGGGGAGGATAAATGTAATAAAGGGATCTACAAACATTACAAACATTGGTGACATACAGTGAGATGGTAACAGGCATGCGATTAGGGCCCGCTTTCCAGCCAGTTTCTGTGGGGTGACGCATTCTGAGGTGAGGCAGGGCTCATCTGTGCCTCACCTCACCCCACAGTAACTGGCTTGAGCGCGCTCACAAAATAAGTGCCTGCGCTAAATTAGTGCCCGTGCTCCAGCAAGTTACTGTGGGCTTACGTGAGGCAGTGCTCGTGCCTGCCTCACTTCTCATCGCTCCCGTAGCGGAGCTCGGCAAATTTGCTGATTTTGACTATAAAATGCGATTGGAATCAAACATAAATCACATTTACACAAGATCAGTGGAGACATTTTGTTATTATTATTATTATTTAGTTTTTCTTTAATTATTTTTCCGTTACATTGGAGTATGACAGGTGAGGCTCTGCCTCCCCTGCCTCCACTGACTGCACGTCGCTGACAGCGGACTACAACATGGATGTATAATAAGAACGAGGGACTACTGTAAACTCATCTAGAGACTCTGCACCGTGCTCTGATGCTGTTGTTTTATGCTTTATGAACGGGGACAACAGAGAAACATATTCTTCATGACCAAAGTTGGAATTGAAATAAAAAAGGAAAGTGAAACTTATGCTCGTCACCCTCTCCCTCCGGTCCTCATTAATACAAATGATCCCAATAAGTATGATTGTATGAAAAGATCTTCAAATCAATACAAATGTATTTATTATAAACGTTAGTCCTTAACATCTATCACTGTGTATATCACCATTCAAACATCTTTTAAAAGTTGAACAAACCCCACACAGCTCAGTAAAGACTGTGAAATGTTGACTTTATTTGATCATTTCAGTAAAAACTAACGTTCATATTTCTCTTTTTGATTATAATACTGATGAACGTTCAAAACAAAGCACTTTGGCAACTTACCACATACGTTTTAAAATGCTTAATAAGCACCGTAACTTTCATGATATCATTTCTCGTTCATAATCGGTTGTTTCCGTGAACGGCCGACTGTTGTGTGACGGCAAATGCGGCGGCCGCAAGGCATTGTGGGGCAGCATTTTCTCCTCTCCTTTTGGTTAGGGAGGTCCAGTGGTTCCTAAGCTAAAGGAGGTTATAAAGGAAGTTTGAAACCTCCTTTCCTTTTAATTTAGAGAATTCGAACGGCACTTATCATGGCTGCCACTGAGGGACTTCCGGGTCATTTCACTCCGTTAGGAAGGTTCCTAAGCTAAATGGACTATTCGACCGCAACCCTGGTCTCCAGTCAGCACCGCTGCAGACTCGCTGTTTGAAAAAAAGAAAAGTGTAACTCCATCTGATTCAGCCAGCTCTACCCTTTGGTTGACATGTTATGCACAAAGCAACCTCTAGATGTCACTGTGGTTCGAACAGAATGCCCTTCAGCTAGCTTCCACTGAGAAAGTTGGCATGCTAAAAATCACTGCTGACGAAATCACTCTTTTGGGTCAACTTTTGTAAGGTAACCATATCATGTTTGACATATTTTAGTGTCAGAGCACTGACTGAACATAATTAGATAACTTGATGCACAAAAAAAGTTTTAACAAGGGTGTAATTATGTTTTTGAAAATATGCTCAACCAACCGGTCGAATTGGCTTTTTATGGTAAACTAGCAATATGACTTTTTCAGAGATGTTTTCCAATAAAATATGGTAAATAGCTAGATTCATGGTAATATTACTAAATCGAGTACTGCCTTATGAGTCTCAGAGTGAAAGAGTGATAATAATTTATATAGCCCCTTTCATTCATGGATGGCATTCAGCCCAAAGTTGCACACAGTTAGGCCAACACAGGATATAGACATTTGCTGTTAGGCCAGTGGTTTCCTGTTAGGCCAATTCAGCATATACAGTAAGATGAGCAAGTCTTTTTTTTATTATGAAAAACACTTTACATTACTTTTTTCCATTTCTTTTTTTTTTTACAATTATAATTTATTATCTTTTTTGAATTTATCTGGTTGTATATATTGCTCATTTTCCATAAAAGAAACAAATGTATTTCAGTTTGTGTTTTATTTGAGTTTGATGCGTACAAATACTGTACTGTATATGATGATTGTTGAAAATGCACTTTTACCATAGAAGGCCAGCTCGACCAGTTGGTAGAGGCTCATAAAAACAAAACTGTGTGGTCAGTCAAAAAAGCTTTTTTCCATTGGTCTGGCAGTTAAAGGGGAGTAAAATATATTACATCTCTTAAAAGAATGAGGAGATCATACTCTATAAAAACATTAAAGGTCCCATGTCATGGCCATTTCTACTGATCATAATTCCATTGTTGAGGTCTACTAGAATAGATTTTTGTGCAATTTTCCAAACTCACATTGGTTTCTCATACAGCATCTTTGTATAGAGTGCCACAGTGACGCGTCCTAAAACCCGGAAGTAAGTTAGCATTTTACCACTTCCGGTTCCTTCAACTAAAACCAATGCAATTTCTCTATAGGATTTTGGAAAATAGCTCGAAATAAGGTCTGTGGTTGACACAAATTGAAGAGACGGATCACGTTTTGTTCAGCCGGATAATATCCACATGTCTACCCTACTTTTATAATTTTTGAATCATAAATCTAATCGATAGATTAGATTCTATCGAAATTTCCTGAAATGTATTTTACCGTGATTTAATTGTAATACACGTTTCAAAATGATGCCGAAGTAACTACATACTGATACCGGTTAGTAAAAACCATGAATTAATGCTTTGACAAGTCTGCAGACAGACGGCAGCCAAAACACCTTTTAAAATGCGTGTTTTCTGAATGGAAATCGGATCGATCAGGATAAACCAACCTGTAGCTGCTCCGTCCACACTCACAACAGCGTCATACAGACATAAATAAAGCAGCGACTGTATTCACCATGACACAGACAGTCTGTGGTTTGTACTTGTTTAACTTTTGTCCAGTTTCTGAACAGATATGAACAGCTGAGAGTTAACACAGATATGAACAGCTGAGAGTTAACACAGATATGAACAGCTAACGGCTGATGTTTCGGGACATGTTGCGCTGTCGGGTGCCACTGCTGACCAATCACGAAGCGTCATTTCTTGACTGGCAGCAAAAACAACCAATCACAGCAGTGCTTCTCTGGCTGGCTCTGTCCAATCACAAACAAGAAGTGTTCTCCCTTAACTTTAGGCAAACATTCACTAGGGGCCCCTCGAACCAGCTTTTCATCGCCACGCACAGACGACAGCCCCCCCGGAGCGGAGCAAGGCAGCAAAACTTAAGATAAGAAGCAGCATTTTACGGCGCTCTATGTATGGGGCCGCCTTGAGGGGGTTTCCCGACATGTCATTGCAGTAAATTAAAGGGTGTTTCATGTTGTCGTTGCTGTGGACCTTCTTAATCTACCTTCTTTGGGGGTCCCCTTCTGGTCAGGGGCCCCAAGCAGTTGCCTGCCTTGCCTGTCGGCAAGCGGCGCCCCTGCTTGTAATACTTGTAAATAACACTTGGCCCGTCATTTCGATTCCCCATTGTAGCGACTCATTATTATGAGAGTGCTCTCATACTTGTTTGATTCTGAAATTGTATATATTTATATAAATATATTGTGGGGGAAAACTTCTGTGTAGCAATGCAGGAGGAGTCACCGACTCAAAGGAGACACGGGGAGAGCTGGAGCTTTGATGGCAAACACTGATGGTTTATTTGGAGCTTCGGCCGGAGAATTCACAAAACAAGTCAAAGAGTCAGAGGTTCTGACTTCACGGTAGAGTTGCCACGTCAATTCTGAAGAACTCTACCTCAGACCCGTGTATTTAGCTAGTTCAGAGAGAATAATCAACATTGTGCATAACAAGATAGAATCATAACACCTCTATCAGCTGACGCCAACAGGCAGGAACAGGGAGACAGAACACTGAGAGCACAGCAGCCAAGGTTACAGGTGCGTGTGCTCAGTCAGGACAGTATGAACTGATACACTGGGTCACAGTTAGGGGCCTTGGAAAATATTTCCCCAACATATATATGTGTGTATATGCCTGTTATTGTCTCATTATACCACACTGTCAATGAATTAAAAGTAAAGTCATCATGAACACATCTGTCCATCAGACAGAGTGCTGCTGTGCCTCCTGTCATCATTAATGGACGTCTCTTTAAAATGACCGCTCAGAGGAGAGGAGTTCTCATTTCTCTAACCGCCTGCTGCTTCCCCTCCTCTCTCCTCAGTTCCCCTCCTCTCTCCTCGGCTCCCCTCCTCAGTCCTCCGCTCGCATCTCCTGTGGGCGGGACTAAGACACAAGGATAGGAGTGGAGGATAGGAGTGGAGGATAGGAGTGGAGGAGGGGAACTAGAGAAATGAGGAAGCTTCACATCTGTCTTGTCAGCGCAGCATTCAGCTCCCTCTGCTGCACAACACCACCATTGTATAACCTTATAATCAAATGTCTCCATATGCTTAGTTCATACACAAATATAAGATGGCCAAACTAGTAAAGGTTGTGTTGGGTGGAGAGCTGGGGGCAGCTGTAGAAGAAGAGGGTCTGTGGTGTTCACGTGGAACTTGAGAGAAAAACAGACCTACTATCAGTTGAGAACCTTTATTAAAAACAGACTCCCTCACAGCATCTGAACTTCAACTTCTTCATCTTCACAACATTTCAAATAAAACTGAATAAATGCAGCATGCGTTAAATATGGCTGGTAAGAAAACAACAACATTCATTTGGTTGACTTTACACTTTAGTATGTGTGACTATCTGCTGACAGCAAACAGAATAGAGAAAAAGAAACCTTTGAGTTTCAACAGTCTGCTATTGCTCCCACTCAAATAGCAGGAATATCTTTGCAAGCTGCAGCGGGGCTGGACATGTTTAACAATCAGCTTTCAGCAGGACATACAAATACAAATAAAAAAAGATGCGGGCCCAAGCAGATAGAATGCACATCAGTGTTCAGCAGCAGCTCCTAATATTGCAGCAGAGAGGACTTTACATCACAGCTCCTCCTGTTCCATCACAGGCCCTCTAAAGCAAAGGCAGTAACACATGACCGTACACCCCACTGAAATACACCAGTCATCATGTGGTGTGTGTGGTTCTCACACTACAGTAACAGCATGTTGAAAGCAGCAGGCCAACCTAAATATCACAGTAACTCTATGTTTGACTCACGGCTCTGAAGAACACAATTTAGACTTATATCATAACGACAATATATTAACTCATACATTTTGTCTTAATATACATTTGAACCGTTCGCTTAAAAAAACTCAATCATCTATGAGGTCGTCAAAATGCAATTTGTTTTGTTATCTGAAAAGCTTTCATACCTCTCTCATTTCAGATGTTCAAAATATACTTTAACATTCATTCTCATTCCAACTATGTGAGATAAATAAAGCAGGGTGTAATATCTGCACTACCCTTTAAAAGAAACACTTAATACAGACAGACTTCATTTACATTCTGGTGGATATGGCAGTGTATAAATAAGTAGGGGGAGTTTCTCTAAGCCGCTGCCATGTTAGTGATACCGTGTTAGCAGCCTCCCATCCACCTCACCTTTAAAACACACTTTTAAAAACCTTCTGCTGCACACACAACTCTTATGGAGAGGAACCGTTTGTGATCCATGGCAGCTGTGCCAAATAACCAAATGACAGTCCTTCAAGTCAAAATCCACCCTTGGATGTGCTGTTAATAAGTTCCTACATTTCCCAGGTCCATGTTCCAAACACCTTGCGCTCTGTTGAGGACACATGCATCATCAGTTATCTTCTGAACATGGTCCCTAAAATGCCTGAGGTAGCAGTCTCAGCAGAGTTAGGGTCAGCATGTTGTACAGAGAGCGCTGTGGAGCAGGGGAAAGCAGCAGAGAGACGTTTACAGAACAATGAGTGCATGTATACAGGACTCCTGAACACTTTCACTTTAATGTCACCATGGCTTCGCCTTCATCTCACCCTAACAGACATGCATCTAGAATAACAGCTTTCTCTCCCCGTGGACAGGTGCAGGCTGCAGGGAAGAGACGGGACCCACCCCCAGTGGTCTATGTCATGCCTCATATGCAGACTCTGCTGCTTCACCCCCTCTCTACTGCTCGTCCTCCTCCTCCTCCTCGTCATCATCCTCATCGTGGCAGTGTGTGATCTCCTGTGGGGGCTGAGGGAAGAAGTGGGGGGGCTGGATCTCACTGACGGACCGAGTCAGCTGGTGCCGTTTGCACTCCATCTCTTTGAGGTCCACATCGTGCCGGTTGCGTGTTGCCAGCGGAGACTCGGTGTCCATGACGCTGACGTGGGTGTGCTCCACCGTGGACTCATGGGGCATCTGAGGGGGAGAGTTTCACCTTATAGTCTAGTTGCTAGCTTAGTGAACCCAGAAAGGTTGACTACCCCAAAGTTTATGTTAGAAATGTATAGCACGGGTCCCCAGCAACATATGTTGATTATCTGCAATTTATACAAAAGCATAAATTGCGTTAGGTATCATTAATTACCATTATAGCCTATGTGGACAATAGTTGAAATGGCTTGGCCGATTTGGACATTTTGGAGTGGTTTTGGGGGTTAATAAGTATGTTGAATCAGGATAAAAAATGGCAGTTTTCACCAGAAAGTGGTAGCATGTACTGCTGGTGGTCTGATGTTTACTACCATGAGTAGTGTTTTGCGACCATTGGATATAGAGAGCACAAGATGAAAATGATTACCTCTACTGTGCTAACATAAAACGTTGGGGTACTCTACATTTCCGGGTTTACTAAGCTGGCAACTTGACTATCAACCCAGACGGACGCAGAGCCTGAGAGCCTCACCAGCACGTGGGCCGCCCTGAACAGGTAGCTGAAGGGGTAGTACAGCAGGTTGATGAAGGAGGCGGCGTAAAGGTCAGCGTAGCGCATCACCTGCGAGGCAAACAGCGTCTGTCGGGATCCACTGCGGAACAGACTTCCCATCATGCCGTAGCACATGTCCATGTCATGGGTCACTTTCTGCAAGGGACACAAAGACATGCCTGATATTTAAAGTGCAGCCTGTTCCCTGGGGATTCTGTGTGTGTGTGGAATCTTTCACTGTAGTGTAACATTTCTGAGGACAGTTGATAAATGAGAGTATATAGAATAAGGTGTGAATAAGGTAAGCACTGTGTTAGTTGGAGGAAGTGGTACCTTAATGCGTCTCTGCAGGGAGCTGATGTCCGGCCTCTCGTTGCTGCTGCTGTCCAGATGCCTGAGGACAAACACAAGCTCTAAAATGGACCTTCACATTGAGCTGTCACATTATTACCAATTTATCTTCAGAACATTCGAAAAATGTATATAATGCTATCAGTGTTTACTTTTGTTTTTGTGCAAATCAATTACAACACAAATCTGGGTGTAGTGAGGAGGAGGAGAGGAGGAGGAGAGGGTCTCTAAGCACAATTTATAATTTGAGAGGTGCAGAAGTTTTTAAACACTATCCCCAAAAAGTATTTAAACTGCCTTGAAGTCAGAGTTAACTGTCAGCAATCTATAGGGATCGTTTGCATGAAAACACACAATATAAATGATTAGGAAATAAATCGTACATTTTACAGGGTTACATTTGAACACCATCTTGCTGTTGCCCATACTCATTTGTATTGAATAGTTTGAACCCATCACAATGTTACTCAATGCAACCTCTGTAGCCTGCTAACAGCTAAGGTTAGCTAGCGCTCCTCCTGCTGATTTTAATTAACAGGGATTTGCTGTGCACAATGTAGCTGCTGATCGACAGTTATACTGAACATCCATACACAGTGGCAGGTCAGATTGCTTGATTTCATATAAATATTACATTTTTGTTATGAGTTTATGGTCAATACGGGTAAATAATAACACCCCTTGTTCGATATCAAACCCTGCAAGGCCACATTAAAGAACATGCTGCTGAAGTGACACCACACTGCAGTATAACTAACACTCAATTCTACAATACTCAGAACAAATGCGCAGAAATGATTCAATTGCTAAATAATGTAACCTGTAGATACATTTAAATCAGCATACAAACATGAAAGGAATCCACTCAGAGCAGGGATGAACAGAGCACTACATGTGAGTGTCCCAACATAGTCAACAGACATGAAAAATACAACCTGCATACAGTAAGTAAGTCAACTAGAGAATGCAATTCCTGAAGAAATTGCTAGTGGGAATGCTTTATGCTGAAAAGCTGACGCTAAACTGCTATGCTGAAATGTAATGTGTAAGAAGAAAGGGAAGAATTTAGATTGAAATGATACATGAACACTGGGGGCTTGAATGTGTGATGAGAGAAGAAAAGAAAGTAAAGGCTTGGAAAAGCAGCAGAATATTTGAACTGCAAACTTTTGAACTAAGTTGATGGTGAATGATCTGTCGCCATGCCAACGGCATTTGATGACACCCCATAATACGCTTAGATGCGTTGATGGCTGCATCGTTACCAAACCTGTGAAGTTTTGGGCCCGTTTGGAACATTTTCACTGAAGTTATGAGAAAACCGTGTTTCATGGCGAGCATTGTGTTGCCATGGCAACGGCATTTGAAGAAATCTCAAAACTGTCTCGTAGATGTCTTCACGGCTGGACTGTTAGCACACATGTGAAGTTTGAGCACTTTTTGAACATTTTCATAGGAGTTAAAGGGACATCGTGTTTTATGGCGAGGGATACGCATCCCTCGCCATAACACACGATGTCCCTTTAACTCTCTCTCTCTCTCTCTCTCTCTCTCTCTCTCTCTCTCTCTCTCTCTCATCTCTCTCTCATCTCTCTCTCTCTCTCTCTCTCTCTCTCTCTTCTCTCCTCTCTTCTCTCTCTCTCTCTCTCTCTCCTCTCTCTCTCTCTCTCTCTCTCTCTCTCTCTCTCTCTCTCTCTCTCTCTCTGAATTATGAAAGTTATGAATAATCCAAATGATAGCCATCGATTCCCGCCCGAGCTAAACGTTTTGATGTTTGAACGGAGTTTCTGCGATGTTGCGATATGCATCTACCACACTGGAAAACTGATTTACAATCAAGCCTTTGCTTACTGAAAGCAACAAAATCAACAACAGAGTGAACACTGAATTTCCTGTAGGGGATTTATTTAATTATTCTTAATTAAGAATGTTTTTGTAGGAATACATCTAAAAGACACAACAAAAAGGAACTCACTTGTAAAGCTCTGCGAGGAAGCACTCCAGAGACTGAAGCTCCTCAAAGATGGCTGAAAAATCAAAACAACATTCATCAATATTTTAGAGTGAGTGAGTGAGTGAGTGAGTGAGTGAGTGAGTGAGTGAGTGAGTGTCTCACAGCTCTTGTCGGTCCACACGTGCAGCTCCTGGGCCAGCTCAGGAATCACCAGGAAGGTCCTCCAGCCCTGACGCTTCTTTGATTTGAGGATGTCACCGAAAATGTGGTCTCCAATGTAGATGATGTCTTTTCCTTTAGCCCCCAGCAGATCACACACAATGTCTGAAGAACCTGTCAGGACAAATATGGCATCAGGAATTTGACGCACACTATTTAAACCTCTTAAAGCGATCATCAAGGATGGTATGGCTGGAATTCCAAAGGCTTATTTACCAAATCCGTACAGCTACAGCGTAGTTTTGGCAATGAAAATCTGAAGTCTCCAACAATGCAACATACCATAAACTTAAACTGCATCTATTTTCAAGGTTTAACTCCACTCCAATATCTGGAATCTTAAAGTAACTTGGATTCTTCATTTACCTCCAGAGTAAACAATCCCATGCTGCAGGGGCCCTGTGTATGTGCCGATCCTCAGCCGGCCTGTGGTCTGAAGGAAACACACATTGTCACACTCCTATTAATAAACATCATATTTGAGTAGAGTATCTTGTCCATACAGGCTTCTACACACTCACAGTGTCCACTTGCCGCAGCACCGTCCCCTCTCCAAAGAACACAGGCTTGCGGGCGTCCACCAGGATCATGTCGAAGTAGGACTTCCAGGGCCGGTGGGGTGTGCCTGGCTGTACACACATCATAAAGGTCAATCCTGGTACAGTACAGTGTTTTTTATTTCTCTTCGCGCTTTTTAACCCTAACACACTGGCCCCAGACAGGTGTAACCAAGGTGCTTCATTCAGATTGACAATGCAAATCATTAGTGTTACCTTTGGGCCATGAGGAAAGCCAAAAAGGTAGGTCATAATTTTCTGAAAGAAGACAGGGCAGGGTATTTAATGTCCGAAAACCACCAAGCAATAGAACTTCATGAAAATATGTGGACATGAATCAGTACATCATGACAATATGAGGTTCAACGTTGTGTTTGCTTTAATACATTTGACATATCTGACTGTAAGCTGTCCTCTCACCTCTGTGTATTTGTAATCACTGTTGGTGGCCAGAAACACTTTGGCTACTTCATTCATGCGACTGAGGAGCAGAGGAAGCTTGGGCTGGAGGAGAAACAGAAGCAACATGAGCTGATAAAGTACTACAGCACAAGTGGTGTGTGTGTGTGTATTGTAAGACCTTAATATGCTGCTTTACTTACGTCCTTTGCCACATACTTCTCCAGGTTTTCAACAGTTTTCTCTTTTAAAGACCCCTGGGAAAATAAAAAGCAGTGGGCTGAAGGCAAACAGCCTAGAAACAGGATTCATGTGGAAAAGCAAATGACTCTACCTTCATATGAACCCAGTCCACACCGTCTCGCACGTCCTGGAACATGCTCTTGTAGGACATGAAAAGGTCACCATTTTTGAAGCCAGCCTCACAACTACAGTGACAATTAGAAATAGAAGAAATGTGTGTGTATCATATCTTTGTTAACTGTAGCACAATCCTGACTCTATGGGCATTTATAATACCTCAATGTTTAATTCAGCAGGATAAACTCCACATATTAACACCACTTTATGATTTCTGAAGTAAAAAGCTAATGTTGGGCTATAAAGGAACTACAGCACGGTCACATGACTTCACATCTTCACCGCTAAGCTAAAGGTGGCTAATGTTGGGCTATAAAGGAACTACAGCACGGTCACATGACTTCACATCACCACTGCTAAGCTAAATGTGGCTAATGGCAACACAGTCTCACGGCATTTCGTGTTATAGTCACGAAATTAATCTATTGATTCGTGTTCACCAACACGATTTCGCCATTTTTTTCGTGTCACACAGAACGATTTTAAAAGCAATGTAAATAATAACAAATTAGAAGGAAAAAGACATTTAAAAAAATACAGATTTAAGTATTCTGACACAGAACGATTTTAGAAGCAATGTATTTATATTGGTAGTATGTTTCGTGCCTGCACCAAATAATAACAAATTAGAAGAAAAAAAAGATGACATAAAATACAGATTTCAGTATTCTGAGGCTCTGAGCCATTTCTTTTCCTCACTGACGGCAAAAAAACTCAGACATTATACAATTTAAAATAAAAGGGATAGGGTTAGGCTTAGGGTAAGATATTGAGTAAGAACATGTTTTTATGAACCACACAGCTTCTGGTCTTCCAAGACCCGACCGGACAAAAAGACGTGTTGCAGGCACGAAACATACTACCAATAGAAATACATTGCATTTAAAATCGTTCTGTGTGACACGAAAAAAATGTGAAAATCGTGTTGGTGAACACGAATCAATAGATTAAATTAATTTCGTGACTAATAACACGAAATGCCGTGAGACTGGGTTGCAACATGTTGGGCTATAAAGGAACTACAGCACGGTCACATGACTTCACGTCACCACCGCTAAGCTAAAGGTGGCTAATGTTGGGCTATAAAGGAACTACAGCACGGTCACATGACTTCACGTCACCACCGCTAAGCTAAAGGTGGCTAATGTTGGGCTATAAAGGAACTACAGCACGGTCACATGACTTCACGTCACCACCGCTAAGCTAAAGGTGGCTAATGTTGGGCTATAAAGGAACTACAGCACAGTCACATGACTTCACATCACCAGTGCTAAGCTAAAGGTGGCTAATGTTGGGCTATAAAGGAACTACAGCACGGTCACATGACTTCACATCACCACTGCTAAGCTAAAGGTGGCTAATGTTGGGCTATAAAGGAACTACAGCACGGTCACATGACTTCACATCACCACTGCTAAGCTAAAGGTGGCTAATGTTGGGCTATAAAGGAACTACAGCACGGTCACATGACTTCACATCACCACTGCTAAGCTAAAGGTGGCTAATGTTGGGTTATAAAGGAACTACAGCACGGTCACATGATTTCACATCACCACTGCTAAGCTAAAGGTGGCTAATGTTGGGCTATAAAGGAACTACAGCACGGTCACATGACTTCACATCACCACTGCTAAGCTAAAGGTGGCTAATGTTGGGCTATAAAGGAACTACAGCACAGTCACATGACTTCACATCACCACTGCTAAGCTAAAGGTGGCTAATGTTGGGCTATAAAGGAACTACAGCACGGTCACATGACTTCACATCACCACTGCTAAGCTAAAGGTGGCTAATGTTGGGCTATAAAGGAACTACAGCACGGTCACATGACTTCACATCACCACTGCTAAGCTAAAGGAGGCTAATGTTGGGCTATAAAGGAACTACAGCACGGTCACATGACTTCACATCACCACTGCTAAGCTAAAGGAGGCTAATGTTGGGCTATAAAGGAACTACAGCACGGTCACATGACTTCACATCACCACTGCTAAGCTAAAGGTGTGCAGAGCTGAGTGTGCAGTACCTGGAGTATCTGGAGCAGTTACTGAAGAAATCCACCAGGCAGGCAAAGAGGTAGGTTTCTGAGCAAGAAGGCAAAGGACTGGAATCAGAGAGACTGACTGAATATGATCATGCTTTCTATATGACAAACCAAGAGTAAGAAGAAAACAGTGAACTCCAGGTTACACACCACAACGTTTCCTTCTTCTTTTAAAAAAAAAAAAATACACATCATGTTCTTTTCAGCATTTTCCTAGGGTAGTACTACGTTGGTTCATACACTACGTTTATGTGGGATGATGCTGATGGGAAACATTCATAGGTTAAAGACTTGCAAGCCTGTAAGGCAACCTGAGGGTAATATGATCAACTTAATACAAGCCGTTATGTTCAAATGACACTGAACAGTGTTTGGCAGATGGGAGGCGTCAACATTGGTTTTGGTGTCAGATACTACCTTGTTACTAAGGACCAGATATATTAGAGCTTTCACAAAAATGAAAAATGATAAGAACACATATGTGGGAAGATAACTGATATCACAACATTAGCCTTTTGGTACTGATAATAATATTTGTTTTTTACTAGTTCCACCATCTCCAGCATGTCTTGTTTTCAGAATGATTGTAAATGAAATTACTTTGGAGTTTTAGACAAATCAAGAAGTTTGAATCACTTTGGGCTCTGAAACAATAGTTCATTATCTCGTATCTTTTATTTAAAACGGTTATTTTATAGTACATTTTAAATGTTAAGCTTTAAGTGTGGTTTTAAAAAAGGCAGCCCTAAGCATCCTCAGCTGATTCCCTTTAAATACATTTAATGCTTTAAATCTCAAATGTATCACCAGACCAAATTGTGTCATTATATTGAAAGAAATGAATTTCACTCTGAGACGGCTAAAGGTGTAGAGCAGTTCTCACCAGGTAGGTTGAAGAGTGTGTTAAGGATGTAGAAGCGGTCAGTGTCTCCACGCTGAATGAATTTGTTTGGGTAAATCTCTCTGATGTCCGGTCTGTGCACAGTGACACAAACACAAATATTACATATAATAGCATTTCTATGACTCCCCCCCAATGTGTTACTGTTGTTCTGAAGACTGAACCCCCTGAACACGGCACACTGTATCAGCAGAGCTACTTCAGACTAGGTTTGAAGTCGGTGAAGGCGGGAATATCTGATCCTGCAAGCACTCTTGCTGAAGACTGCAGTTGTTCTGCAGAGGAGAAGCTCCACGCCTCCAGTCCAGATCTCTTCCACACGCTGTGCATTACTCAAAGATACGGTAGGTCGCCCTCAGTTTCTTAATCAGTCAAAATGAAGGACGGCCTTCAGGTTTTTTGGTCATTGTTAGGAAAATGTAGTCAATGTCAGAAAATGTTTGGTTAACCACTGCATGCATTGTGCCCAGAGGATGAATCCCATTTGATGCTCTGACTTTTCCTGTAGCGCCACCACTAGGTTGTAACTTCCACTTAGAGATATTCATGGTGCCTAGATGAATAATCCTAAAATAACGTCAATTTGATGGAATAACATCTGGTCAAATTTTACATTTCTCCAATACTTAGATTATAGACCAAATATCTGCAAAACTAATGACATTCCCATAAGCCTCAGCAGTGCTTTGTGTTTGGAGCTATTCAGCATAGGGGAATATTATTGTTATTATGGCATAACATTAGCTTGTTAGCATTGTCATTGTTAGCATGCTGACATTTAGCTCAAAGCCTAAAGGTGCATGGCTGCAGACTGTAGTGCTGTTTATGACTCATTTGCATAGAAGAAGGATCTAACTTTGTGAATAAGTGTGTGTTTTTAGAGATGTGGTGTGCAGCTCAGTCAGAGTCATTGACCTCACCCCCTCAAGAAGTTGAATCCGTGCACACACACCAGGATGTTCCCATATGCATCCACTTTAAGCAGATTGCCATACGTTGTGTCAAACAGCAGACCTCTGGAAGAATGAAGAGGGAAGACAGTGAGAGACAGAAATACCACTTGTGAGAATGCACTGCTGTTCAAATGGATTTCAAAAAGGCAGGGCATTGTGAACCAGCCTGGTGGGGAAGGAGGGGTCGTAGACAAAGTTGAGCAGCTCTTGTGGATAACCAATGTTCACCAGGCGCTCCACCGTCAGGTCGAAGCCTAGCGACTCGTACTCAGGAGATTTATACACTGCCAGACAGACAGACAGGGAGAGAGGCTCATGTTTACTACACATAAATCACTCTGATGGGACCAAAATACACCGATTCTACAAAAACAGTCATACAGCCGTGTATTCCATCATCTTTGTTACTTCCAACTTGATTTTCAGGCTGCAGGTCTGCAAAGACTCGCAGCGCTACAGCAGACTCTTTAGAGCCAGGCTTAGTGATGCATTAATGTCCATTGTGGAGATAGGACAATTTTCCTTCACTGCCAAAGGAATTTGTAAAGTATACATTATTTTAAAACAATTTTTCTGTTGTTAACTTTTTGAAATGTGTTAGTGGTAAAATCTCATTTTTTTGTTTTAAGCTTTTTTGCTCCCCACTGATACAGCAGGAAGTAATCTTCCGGGACAGATTGAATCACCTGTTTCTCTTGTACCTTGGACATTAAACCAAGCCCGTTTCAAACTAATGCACCAGCACTTAGTGGTTTGGCTCATTTGAAGCAAAGGCACACTGCTCGTCCCAAAAAAGTCACCAACTGGATTTAACTGAGCCAATCTGTAAGAGCCTTCCATTGGATATTTACTGCTTTGATTAATATGTTTCAGCTGGCAACAAGTTATTTAACCCCAGCTGTGTCTCACTTCACAACCATGTTGGAAGACATATCCTGTGGTCGTGGAAAGGATGTTAATGAGTTTCAGAAGGATCAAATGATTGGCCTGCATCAAGCAAAGAAAACAACTAAGGGGATTGCTGAAACTACTCAAATCAGGTTAATAACTGTCCAACGCATTATTAAAACCAAATCAATGAATCCAGATTTACCCTTTCAGAGTGATGGGCGCATCAGGGTAAGAACAGAGGCGGATGAAGTGATGTACCCATCACGCCTAGTGCAAGCAAGTAGGAACAAAGGAAGTGCTTACACACTCAAATATCCAGATTTATATAACAGTGCGCACGCACGTCCTACGCCGGTTTCCCTTTATAAATCACAATCAACTGGAAATGCGGGCTTCACGTAACGCCCATATTTCCCTATAAATAGTCAAAGAAACATATTAATACTCATTTAGACTGACTGCATTAAGAAGATCGTAGCAAATGCCGACACAACAGCTAAAAAACAACATTTCACAGTGACACATTTTGGTTCTTTTGGGGAGGTGGAGACAAATACATCAGATTGTTTGGTGGACGCAGTTTGAAGTTTACAAAGAGATGCAGCATGAAGGTCGGATCGTCACCAAAATAAATCAATAAGTTGTACGAAAAAGTGAATGCTTTTTAAAGGAAATAAAACAGATGTGTGACCAGCTGTACAATTGACACATGTTGTTCTTAGTTTTCATACCTCTTGTGTTTTAGGAGCATCACGTCTTGGCATTATAATAATTCACTTTATTTGTAAAGTTCCGTTTAAAACAAAATCAAAAAGGCTTAACCATTTTAACACATTTTGAGACATAATTACTGTATATAGTATATAAAACTATGCACTCGTATCTACACGACCTACAGAAATGCAAAACGGCATCAGTTCAAAGTCATTTATTAGAATACATTTCATAACATGTAAGAGAGAGTTTTCAATAACATATCCGTATTTATTTATTTCTCCAAGTTATGTTTTTGTGTGCTCTCAGGAGTATCAAACAGGCGTTTGTTTAATCATTTTAAGATTGGCTTTTACCCATTTCTGTAAATGTATTCTTCATATATGATGCAGAGAGATTTATGGTATTGTTTTACATGTCTCTCTCCATTCTTCCTTCGGTCAATGGTGTCGCAGTTTCTCATGTCTCCCGTCTCTGTGCGTACGCATGGATCAGAGTGTCCTTGGAGGACCACACATTGTTCGGTCAAGTTTGTTAAATAAATCACAGAGACTGCCCAGAAACTGGCGTACGCCATCCTTTGATCGTACGCTGCGTTTATAAATGAGGCCCCAGACCTCAGCCCCGTTGAGTCTTTGGGAGTCTGGAGAAGACTTTGCGCAGCGGTGCAACTCTCCCAATCAATACCAGATCTTGGCGGAAAATGAATGCAACTCTGGACAGATATACATTTTGTGACGTTGCAGAAGCTTATCGAAAACGATGCCACGGCGACTGCGTGCCGTACTCAAAGTGCATCTTCTTTTTGGGACGGGCAGTGTCCCTGCAGGTTTCTTGGTGTTCTGAGAATCTTTATGTTTTTTTCACTTATAAGTCATTTTGGATCACAGCGTCAGCTTAATTCAATGAGATGTAATAAATTGGTATCAGCTTCTAAAAACGTGTTAGTCTCTGACCCTCTTTGCCACCCCAGACCCCTCCCCCCCATGGGTGTTGTGTGTGGAATAACTGCCAGGAATATCCTGACACAGCTGGGGGGGGAGGAGGGAGCAGCTTGGGTTGCAGTGTGTGCTCCAGTGAACTCAAGGACTATGTTTACACACCCATCCGGCAGATTAGCAATTTTGCAGCAAATATTAAAGAAGAAAAAATACTTGTGTGCAACTGAGACAGTGCCATGGAGATGATGGATACTTTAAGAGTGCTCAACTCAACCCAGTCTCACGGCATTTCGTGTTATAGTCACAAAATTAATTTAATCTATTGATTCGTGTTCACCAACACGATTTTCACCTTTTTTTCGTGTCACACAGAACGATTTTAAATGCAATGTATTTCTATTGGTAGTATGTTTCGTGCCTGCAACACGTCTTTTTGTCCGGTCGGGTCTTGGAAGACCAGAAGCTGTGTGGTTCATAAAAACATGTTCTTACTCAATATCTTACCCTAAGCCTAACCCTATTATTTTAAATTGTATAATGTCTGAGTTTTTTTGCCGTCAGTGAGGAAAAGAAATGTCTCAGAGCCTCAGAATACTGACATCTGTATTTTATGTCATCTTTTTTTCCTTCTAATTTGTTATTATTTGGTGCAGGCACGAAACATACTACCAATAGAAATACATTGCTTCTAAAATCGTTCTGTGTCAGAATACTTAAATCTGTATTTTCTTTTATCTGTTTTTCCTTCTAATTTGTTATTATTTACATTGCTTCTTTTTTTTTTTTTTACAGTTTTGCAAGTTAAAATGTTACACAAAAAATGAGTGATGTAAGTGAACAAAAGTATCCCCAGCCATTCAAAGTACGAGAGGACTAATAGGGCTGTCTGGAGGGTATCCTATGCCCTCAGTCACTGAGTGGATGAGGCAGACAATCTGCAGCAGGACATTGAGGCTCTCCATGCAGCAGCTCTTCACTCTGACCTTTACCAGACTGCACTCACCTGCCAGAGTGTAATCCATGTCAAACCCAAAGCACTTGATCTTCTCCATGGCCAAGCTTCGATTGACAAACACTCTGGAAAGGGAGAACAATGTTGGGTCAAACAATGCACGGCTTACTTCTAATTCATGGTTTTTAGAGCTACAGAAGAAAATAAAAAGCGCACGCTCCCTTGAGGTCAGTCTTGATATTCATGGCAGACTGTGTGAGTGACCTTACCACGAGTCACTCAAATAAAACTTAACAACCACAACACCAACAGACATGCAATCCTGCAGGTTATTTAAAGTGATCAGAGCATCTGAAGTGAAACTCTCAGGCCTGCCAACTTCTTCTCAGATGGAGAGCTGCTGTGGTTTCTGCTGAGTCATGTTGTCAGATACATCTAAAAGGACTGTCATCAAGGTTGCTGTCACACAAAGTCACAATGTTCCATATGGAACTGAACATTACCTCAACATGTGTGATTCCCTCGACAAGAATACGTTCCTTCCTGATGTGTGTGGACCCACATTCATGTCCGAATGGCTCTGATACGGTACTAACTAAATAAGTGAATAAACAAAGCTTTTTACTAAGAAGCTGCAGTATACTTTTGTCATTCTTATTGATAAACATACAATACAGAATTGTTGACATTGTTCTTTAAAAAGAAGACCAACGTTATTTATCAATTAGTAGAATAGTTGACATTTTTGCCTTTGTGTTAAAGGCATACATTTCTCAAAACATAGGTTTCCTATCCAGCCTTAACCACCTGACCCTAACTATCAATCTATAGATGTTAAGCCTAAACCTGCAGACATACAGACATTATAAAATATGTCTTTCCCATTTGCTCTTTTTATCTTCATCATTTTCATAGAATTTGTGCTCAACAGTTACTCTCACAGAAAACCCCCCTCACTGCTGAGTGTACAGTCAGACATACAGTATGATCTGTGACTCTGATCAGACAGTACACCGGCCTCGAGTTTCTATTCAAATGCCGTGAGAGATGACATCATGGACAGTAACAGATGAGCATTAAAGCAGAGCTGCAGGAACAAGGGGAATGCAACAGGAAAGCACAATGAGAGCCACCTGCTGCCTCCACAGGGGTCAGGATGGATGGAATTCAATGAGTCGGATGGAAAATCATTTCACATCATGGAAGAGTCATTTAGTCAGTAATCGCAGTTTGCTTCAACAATAGATGGATGGCATACCTTGTTGCAGGATGGGTTTGAGTCTGATCCCTTGGAAAGCTTTGTAATAGAGAATACATGGAGTATTACCACTGAGGTCATGCTACATGGCCATGGTCGGCTGTTTTTGTCAGAGAATAAAGTATTTTCTACTGCAATTCAGTACCCAGTACACATCATTTATTTCCACAGAGGTGCAACAACTCTGCTACCAGCCTGGTATTACGTTACACTTTAAGGCTGGCTTGGTTTCTATATGTATAGGACTCAGGAAATATGTGTAGTGTACAAGATTTAAAGGAACAAAATATGTTATTAAAAGTTTTGTTGCATTTTCCCTGTTCATTATTTTAAACTTTGATAGTATCACAAGTCATTGCAAGTGAAACAAATGGCTGGATCATGGGTACATGGTACATGGATATAACCACATGGGGAAAACTGTTGCAAAACTGCAGATACTCTTTTAAGAGAGGAACAGATTTTTGGTCAGATGGTAAAAGTCATAATTTGATATCCCTAAATCTAATCAAAAAATGATTTCTGCAAGTGAGAAGATTGAGATCTGGAGAGTGACGAGTCGGATTGAGACATGTCATAAATAGTTAGAATCTGAGGTTTCTGAAATAGCGGATGAGATGTGACTGATTTGGTTTGCACGCCCAGTAAGGAGACATTTTATGATGACTAGATGACGAACCTGTTTTATACCAAGAGATCACACACACACACACACACACACACACACACACACACACACACACACACACACACACACACACACACACACACACACACACACACACACACACACACACACACACACACACACACACACACACACACACACACACACACACACACACACACACACACACACACACACACACACACACACACCTTTGGTGAGCTTCCCGGCGGTACTTCTTCATGGCCACACCGTCCATGTTGGCAGGTAGCTCAGCGTGGTTCTGCAGACGGTCGCTCCATGAAGTCGTCATCTTGATTCTGAGAGGAGAGGAGAGGAGCTGATGATAAACCCAGAAACAGTCCTCGAAAACCTTTATTCATGCAGGATGACTGGTTAACCCAGTGTCCTCTCAGGCAGGCAGCTGATCAGACCTTCTCCTCTCTAAGTAGAACTCATGTACCACGCTATCCTGACCCAGCCTGCTGCACTCAGGTAGGCTGCCTTGGTCAATCAGAGGTACAAGAAGTACTCAGATCTTGTACTTAAGTAAAAACGAGTGTACGAATACTTTATATACTTTTACATTTAAAATTGTACTCAAGTAAAAGTACATAGTACTGGCATGAAAATATATAGTACTCATTTTTCCAGTATGGCCCATATCAGATTTAAAAATATTACATTTATGTATTCTAATTATTAATGCATTAATTGTCAATGTTGCACTTGGTAAAGGTAGAGATTATTTAAAATACTTGATATTCTGCTGAGTAGCTTATCCTATAATAATACATAATGACTTATTTGTTAATTTATATTCTGTATTATAAATAAAAAATGTAGGAGTCAAAAGTAAAAAATTGCCTCCAAACTGTAGTAAAGTCAAAGTAGCATAAAGTAAAAAATAACCAAGTGAAGTATAAGTACTTGAAAAGTGTACTCAAGTACAGTACTTGAGTAAATGTACTTCATGTATTCCACACTGTAAAACTAAAGCAGAAAAACTAAAGTATGAATGTGATCAAGTCGAACATGGTATAAATGATTATTTATTAAAAGGTGGTTGCTTTATTGGTGCAGTGTTCTGTATAAGACTCTAGCAGGGTCCTGTGCTTCAGAATGCTTCTTCCTACCCACACCGGAAACATATGTAATACATCAGAATAAAGGCTAAGCTAAAGTTAGCTGTGTGTAAGTAACGTTAGTTTCATCAGCTCGCTGTTAGCTTAGCAGCTTTTAACTCCACCCGTTAGTGAGTCAGTGTTTGAGAGCCCGTTAATCTGTCACAGCTCTCAGACTGAGGCCAAGCATTTACTGCAGACACACAACACACCACAAACAAGACACACCACTCACCGTGACCGTCCACTTCTGCGTCTCTTCTTCTTCTTTCTCTCCACCTTATCATGGACCGCTACCCGATTGGTCCTCAGCTACGTACGGCAACCCAAGTAGGACAGTTGACACGAAGAAAACAAACCCGACCAGAGATAAGTTATTACAACGTTATTTCCCGATTATTTGAGAACTCCTTTTAGTGGGCTAAGAATAAGTGAGAAATGGATTTAACTTGTTTGACAGCTATCACACTGGAGAAATAATTAACTGTAAATGTATGCAATCATTTGTGGCAAAATCATTCATATCTAATTCTTAACTGTGAATGGTTTTCATTTATTTAACATTAGCAATGTTTTAACTTTCTCTGTTGAGATTCCTGAAAAGGGAAATGACATAAAATATTTTCCATAAAAAAGGTGATTCAACAAAACTCTGTTATTAGATCAGTATTTTTCTTTCATGACAATTATTGCAAAATCTAAAAGGTCTTTCCCAACTTTGTCAGCAGCTGTTCTCACAGTAAACATCGCATCGCGATTAAAGCAGTTAGTAAACAGCATTCACACTAATAAGAAAAAGAAGATGATTAAAGAAAAGAAGAACTAGTGGAATGCTGTTTACATTCGCACTAATAAAACTTATACAAAAAAGAAATGCCATTAAAGATTTGAGTATTATTTTTTAATCCAAGAGATGCTGTTACGAAAAGTTACAGCATTTCCTGTTTCTGTCGGAGTGAGGGGAGTTTTACAACCAGATGGGGGTGCTGCAGCCCCCTCAGCACCCCCCCTTCCCGCGTCCCTGCTGACCAGCCAAAAAAAAGTAACCACTTTTATTTAACTAGGCCAGTAGGTAAGGGCATTCCACTGGATAATAATACCCCTGCATTATAGCAACAACAACAATAATAATAATAGCAATAATAATTGGGAGGGGGGGCGTGGCTGTTCTTATGTTCTCTGAGGGGAGGCTCACCTTCCCACACTTTGAAAACCCCTGATCTAGAGAATTCGAACAGCAGTTATCCCCCACATTGTCCAAAAACCGTCTTGTGAACTTGTGGCAAAACCATGAAACAAAAACAAAAAAATATACAACTCAATGGCTGCCACTGAGGTACTTCCGGGTCATTTCACTCCGTTAGGAAGGTTCCTAAGCTAAATGGACTATTCGACTGCAACCCAGGCCTCAGGTTTTCCTAGGATCCTTATCGTAGCATTCGCAAATGTGTCATTTTAAAACCATCAGGTTATGAGAAAATGACAAACATTAAGGGTCAAGTTTTGGAGTCACAGAAAGTGCAGTTTTATTGAAAAGACATTGTTGAAAGACAAAACGTGACTAAAAAGGTCTACAAGTTCAACACATAAGTATTTACAGAATGGGAATTCACAATGGGTATGAATGGGTTTACATGTTGTTGTCCGTTTTATATTTTGTTGATGCTGGCAGCCGGCAGGGTGGATTTGTCCAAGTCATCAAAGTATGGGTGAGTCATGGCCTCACGGGCTGAGATCCTCTTGGGAGGGTTGTAAGTCAACATTTTCTGCAGTAAAGAGACAAGAGCAGGAGGTTAGAGGTGCAGCACCATGAGCTTTTAGAACTCTGCGGGAAGTTTTCCAAACACATTTTAGTTTAAACAAGGTTTGTCCTGATCCAATCTCAAGCATCATTCGTGGGCCATTGTTTATGTCAGCTGTCCCACAGGAGGTTATACTTGTGAAGCTGACTGGTACGTATTGTCTTTTGCTAGCATGTACGGCAAGGCTATTCAATTGGCGGCCCACGGGGTGATATTTACTGGCCCTTTGAGTATAATGATAAAAAGTAATATACTTTTTTTTCTTCTTTAAGATTTTTTTTGGGCCAGAGTGCCTTTATTCTAGAGAGGGTGTTAAATTGAGAGATAGAGGGTAAGACATTGCCTGAAAACTTCTGCGGGCTCAGGTGTCGAACCCACCTACTAGCTACTGTAGTGACAACTCCTGTCATTTATTGCATCTCTGCGTGAATGATTAGATCATTTCACCTAAATTAAATCAAATTAATGATGTTGATGGTTAAATGAGCTTCACATGTAGGCCTACTGAGTTCTGAACTTGCCATTTAGATCTATAAAGGCCTTGGGGCTATGTTGTTTGATTGAATTAAAGACAATATATGCACTCCACTATGCTGTTGTAGTATTTACTGTATCTGAAGCTCTTAATACAATTGCTCATATTTCAAGCCCCTTGCTTTGGATCATTTTCATCAACCGGCCCCCATTCCAAACTAATTGAATAGCCCTGATGTACGGTGTGGAGCCCCACAAACAAAAACATCTATTAATGTAACAGGGTTCCTGCAGGTTTCACCAACTCAAATTTAAGACTTTTTAAGACCACTTTGTATAAAATGTAAGACTTATTTCACGGCAAGAAAGTATGAAGGAAAATTGCTATGAAAGAAGAAATACGTCCCATAATTACTTACAAAGTAAATGTATTCATGTTCAACATAAGAACGATGACTGAACATAACAGCATAACAGTACACAGAACTGTGTTAGCCAAAAAGTGTGTGTGTGTAGTGCTAGATCGTATACCGCCTGGGTTTTAGGCGGCGGAAGTGATGTAATCGTGGATGAGAAGTCGGCAACTTTTGTATTAAAAGTTTAACGTTTACCCTAAATAGAGGAGTTCCGCTCACGCACGTCTTGTCACAAATATGAGGTTCATTAACGAATAATGAGATCATACTCTATATAACATTAAAATGTGTGAAATATACTTACATTTCAATAATAATGGTTTGATTATTAAATAATAACTTGCAGTTCTTATTTGTGTTGCATTTGCGGATAAAACCCAAAGAACATTTAGGATATATATATATATATAAATACTGGTCAGATATCCACCAGATCTTTTAGGGATTTTTGTCTCTCTTGGAGAAATTGAATTGCAACATCAAATACAAAAGTTAATCTGAAACAAACTCAAATACCATAATGAAATTAATCCACAAATTAATTTAAAGGGGACCTATCATGCAAAATGCACTTTTGTACGTCTTTTATACATGAATATGTGTCCCCGGTGTTCCAGGGAACTCACCAAGTGTCAGAAAACACAACCCTCTCTATTTTCCTCCATACCCAAATCTCTAAAAAAGGGGCTGCAACGGATCTGATCCAGATTTGAACACTGTCCTGACGTCAGGACGGTGGCGCTATGGCTATTGGGCCAACTCCACCAATCAGGAGGAGACAGCCACGGCCATTCCCGTTCGAAAGCGCTGGAGACGCTGTAGTACATATGCCAGGCCAGTAGATGGTGCTGTTCTCACTGAATCAACCCTTGCAAAAACAGAGCTAAAAAATGTCAAATTGAGCAAAATGAGGCATGGCTAAAATGCATGATCTGTTTGGTATTTTGCAAAAAAAAAAAGTATAAATATGCCTTATATAGGTATGGTCCTATACTATATTATTCAAATATAGCATGATAGGTCCACTTTAAATGTTATACCTGGAAACACAAATACACAATAGAACATTTAATATGCTCGTCTCTTGTCCTGGGTGGCAGATTACGTCACTTCCGCCGCTGCTGCACTAGCTAACGCTGCATTAGCAAAACAAACGCTATTTTTTTTTGCAAAAGGTGCAGCGGGCTTCAAACACGTTCCCCTCCACTGGTTTCAACCAAGCACTAAATTCGATGTTTTCCAACAAAATATGGTTGAACTTACATTTCCCCATATTTGTTTGTGAATAGATTTGAAGATACCTGAGTTTCTAACTGCCGCTAGCTTGGTTGCTAGGTTACTAGCTGGGTGTTCTCCGATAAGGGGCCGGGGGAAACAAAGTTAGTGATGGTTCCATGTTGATTTATTTCAATACAAATTGTTGGAGGGAACTGAAAGGCTCTTACCGTACTGGTTACTTTGCAGCCCGGACAGTTCCCCCAAAACACATTTAGACGCCATCGCAACACAGAAGTACCTTTCAAAAATGGAGCCCCCCGAGGAGCACCTGAATGCACCATTGGCCTTGGTGCAACAACATGTATCAACATCTCTGTGTTTACAGAAATCAAATACATTTTTCCCATTAGCAATGTTAAATATGTAAAGTTTGTGGGGCGGGTAGGAAATGTTTTCACTTCTTATAATGCATCCAGGATTTATGAACAGTGTTAGTTTTGCCAGAGAGGGGCTGGTTTAAGTTGTTTTAATTTCTAAATAGTTCCTAACTTATATTCAGTAGTTGTCCTCAGATGTTATGTTTTTATATATTGTTAACTCATGTCCTTACCGCCAGGAGGTCCAGGCCATTCTTATCCAGGTTCTTCACCATTGACGACAGGTTGCCAGACTTCCATTTAGGGAAGGTGTTTTTGTAGTCAGGTAGGCTCTCTACATCTGGCCACACGTCGTTGTTGGGGGTTCCCAAGGTCCTGGAGAGAACAGAAAGAGAGGATTCAGAGGGGGTACATGGTGGGCCTCAGGGCACCGGGACCCTCAGGAGCGAGAGCTTGGAGGAACCATTCTTCAGTCTACGAATGAAAGCCTCAGGTGTTAAGCAGTTTTTGTCCCGGGGACAAGGCTCTGGAGAGTTCAGAACTTTCAGGGAGGGAAATGCCAGGATCAGTCTACATAATAAAGGCTTACTATCGCAGCCAGCTGTTGCTGAAATTGGCAAGTTAATGCTAAGCCCACTCATTTTATTTGTGTAATAGGGGGCATTTTTATGTATTGAAGAAATATACTCAATTTTGCATTTGTGTGTTCAGAGTCAGTGATAAAACATGGTGTCATTTGCCACACTGCCTACATTTACTGCACAGCAGATGCGTGTACATCCTGGAATCAGCACAGCCATCCATGCAGTCTCAGTAAAGAAGGAACTGTGAGATATCTGTGGGTGTGTGGATTATTTATGCGTACATGTAGATTAGATGACGTCAGAGCCCATCACTACTGTAAGTACTAGATTTCAATAGCAGATACTTACTATTCTCATGTACTAGCAGATTTTTCACATTTTGCTTCATGTTCGGAAGTGAGATACTGACATAGGGACATGCATGAAGCAGATG